AAATAATAAACAGTACAGTTTCAATAGGCTCTCGCAGCGCTTAGCTGCTCGGGCCTAATAAAGAGCTCAGATGAGACTAAACTCCAACAGTTTTTGAGAACCATATCTCCTATAAAAGAGGTACTCCAGATCGTGAGACGACAGCGAACCTCTCACTTCTTGGATGCTAGACGAGCTGCAACCTCAGGAGGTTTTGATGCGTTTTGAGCCAAAAAGCAAATCGATAATCCCCAAAGCTGATTACAATGTAGACTGATGGGACAAAACTGGAGCCTTTATGCCAGTGACATCTGTTTTATGTCAACGTGGACCTTCCAAAGAAAAGACTACACAACACACAATATTAAACCTACTTTTAAAAGCAAACTCCAATTTTTAGTAAGTATGGAATAAAAAGCGCATAATGCCATCGTATGTTTTAAGTAAACTGAGTGTACTGGTATACTTTTGTGTCTCTGCATCTTATTTAAAACAGCAACTTCGTGTCACATACATTATTCAGTAGTATTTAACATAAAGCACCTGCTTCCCTGTGTATATATCCATTTTATATTCTCAGCATATTCAACTAATAAGAAGGAAAGTAAGCAAGTGACTCCTTGGAGACTTGCTTTATTATAACACGCCATAATTCAAGAGAAAAACAAGTTCCTGCTGTTTAAATAGCATACTTTGCAGTGTCCAGCATGCAACCATGATATTTTGCAGCAAAACATCGAAGGCCCAACTGCCTTTCTTGTTTTTTATTGCTTCCAACTCTGTCTACCTGAAGTTTATGTCAGCTTACAGCTTTCACACTTTTGTGGATCACGCAAAAGTCAATTTATTTATTTATTTGCATAGCACCATTTCACAACAAACATTGTCTTTAAAAAATTGTTTCCATTCAGTCACATACATCCCAATTGATCCTGCTTATCAAACAGTATGAGGTAATTGTTCAAATTAGTTTAGAAAGTTTCTAAGGAAACCCCGCAGATTGCATTGAGTCAAGCAAAAAAAAAAAAAAAAAAAATCTCCATTTGAAACATGAAGGGAGTTGTTTAAAAAAAAATAACACAATCTGCAGAAAACAAAAAAAGCAACAAAAGATGCATCTTTTTGTTTTGTTCCATTATTGAACTATAAGCCAAACATCTGTATTTGATTCAAACATCCCTCAAATCAAATATTCTGGATGCACATTATATGCAGTTTATCAAATGTTTTTCCATTCTTGAAATAAATGCCTGACTCCATACCTTTTGATGAGGTGATTAGATCAGAGAAAGCAGGCTGAAGGATCGTTGGAGGAGAGCAGATGATGGAGCTGCACTGACAGAGAACAGATATAAAAGTTGTTCTTGCATAACGAAATCATCACAGTCAGAATTTTAATGTATTTTTCAATGCAAATGATCACCGGCTGTTATAAATTGCTCCGTTTGGATGAATCTCTCTGAATCTCTCCTGTTTGATTGTGTTGGTAGAAAAAAATGTGTTCACGAGATTTAAACACACTTTTTATGGCAAAATCTCAGTTTTCCAATCTCCAATTTGAACTGTTTTCAAGCCTTCATTTGGTCGTGTTAAAAGGATTTAATCTCAGGAAAGGGAACAAAATCTGGAAATATTGTTTTTCTATTCCTGTCCAGACTGGAAAATGCCTCATTCAAATGCTTTACTTTTCCCCTGACTACAATGCAAACATGTTATTGGTTAATTCATCAAATTCATCATCATCATTATCATCTTGTAAGCGTGTATTTGAAGCTTTTCTGTGATAATACCGACAGAAGCCATTTCTCATAATCAGTCCCAGTTTGTTTAAAGCCACATGTTGAATCAATCTCTCTGTGTCTCACTCCAGTGTTCCTTGGTGTTTCTGGCTTGTCAACCTACCAGGTGCGCCCCGACAGCATGTGTGTTCAGTGGCAGCCTCTTCTGCACGCCACATCATACCGTGTCTCCATACAGTCTGTGCTCAGTAAGTACATTTACTGGTGGATGCTTTGTCGGTTTTTACGTAGCGTTTTGAAAAATCTCCAGGTTTTCCTCTTGGAAACCGAGTCTAAAAGATAGATTTACTTCAATTAATGTAAAAACTGAAGAATCCTAACACATTATTGTATTATCTACTCTCACACCAACTGAGTGCTAACTTCCTGCTGTGCAGCTATACGATACTCCATCAAAATATATATACAGACACCAAATTATTTACTGGAATTTTGTCCCGTTCATCTAGACAGAAAGGTGTTAACGAAGGTTTGAACATTATTGCTCAAACACAAAAAAAATATTTTGTCTGATTTAATGTCAGAGAATGAAGGGGAAAACAGTTTCTTTTTATAGAGTGTATGCAAACATCTTCTTTCAACTATAACAAAATTTTCCTATTCGTTTTATGAGAGCCAACTTTGTCTCAAACAGTTATATGCTGTATGAAAACCAACATCTGTGCAAAAAACACCCACTATACAAACACTATCTTCGTTAATGAAGTGTTCACTTTCTACACAAATAATGGTGTTCTCATTTGTGCATTTTGTTTGCATGACAAATAGCATTTTAATGACCATGAGTGCCATTTTACAGTCCTATTTATTTTCTGCTACTGACCAGAGTTGTGCTCCATGACGCACAGTTTTTTTTTTAATGACATTCCCGTGCCAAAAACCCTTCTGCAAACTCATTTAGTGCAATAGCAGCTGTGGATACCTCTGAGCAGCATCTCACTTAGGATAAAGTGTCTGTTGGATCATTGTTATGTATTAAAAGCATAGAGGATAGCTTGGGTGAGGCAGAGTTTACTTTAAGATCACGGAGCCAACTGGCTACTTAAACAACTTCAAAATTGTAAAAGTGTGAAAATGAGGTTGCAGTTATTTCCTTTAACCTCTCAGGTTGTTTCCCTATTGATTTCTCTCCAACATGAGACACATTAGGAAACAGAATTAAACCAGTGAAACTTACAAGCGTCAATTGTTACTCTGCACCACAGTTCAAACCAGATATTTACATACACTGAGTAAAAAGTCATATGCATTTTTTTTCCCTCACTATCTGAAGTTCAATCAACAAACTTTTCTTGTTTTTGGTCAGTTAGAATTAACAAAATTATTCATATATTTTTAAATGCCAGAAAGAAAACATAACAAGAACATAATCTGATTGATTTAGATTGAGAGCCGAAACTCTCAGTTCCTCCAAGTCGAGGCTAAAAATCCACCTGCTTAGAGTTTGCCTTTGATTCATAACAACTGAGACATTGATCAACATATTTTATGTCAATCTGCTTGATGATTTTGAAGATGGCACTCAACAACATGCAAAGTTTATTTGTTGTTTCATAATTGGTGCAAAGCACTTTGAGCTGCCTTGTTGATGAAATATGTTATACAAATGAACTTGATAGAGTAAAATGTCAGTGTCCAGATGTGCAGCCTGACTGAGACCTACTCACATCGACTGTGCTGAGATTTCAATCAAAGGTGCATTTACTAAATACTAACTTGGAAGGGTGAAATATTTAAGCAATCACTTATTTTATGTTAAATATTTTTGCAATTATTTTTGTAGAAATTGTTTTTTTACTTTAACATTAGAGGGTTTGTGCAACTTTTATTGGTAAAAAAAAACACTAACAAGCAATAAAATAAAAATAATCTTCAATGGTGAATACTTGTACGTAGCGATGCACCAGTCCGAATTTGTTAGTTTATTTCCAACAATGAGATCTTCGCTGGTACAGATTCTCTTTAAATGTGGCATAAAAAGGTTTAAGAACAAAGCTCAAAATATTTCCAAGGTTCCTTGTCGTTTGCTGTCATGCGCTGTTTATTTTAGCAGGAGAGGCAATAGTGCACAGCTGTGTGTGAAACAGGCTTTTACTATTTTAATTCAAAGACAAAAGGACCATGTGGTTTCCATTTTAAATTGCCCATAGTGTTTTATTTTAGTAATTAGCATAGTTAGCATAACTACAGCAGCACTTCTGGCTTTATTTGCTTCTGATTTACCTAAAAAGTTTTTGCTTCCCTGGTTTAGACATAATGCAGAAAAAGATTCAGAAAAAAATATTTCTTGAGAAAAAATATTTTGATCTGAGTTTTGTATGATTTGACTTTTTATTTATTTATTTCTTGCAGATGGTCAGAGACAAGAGCTAAACCTGGGAGGTTCAGCTTCGCGCCACTGTTTCTATGACCTCACTCCCAGTAGCCAGTACCAGATCAGCATTTATACACAAATGCAAGAAATGGAAGGACCGTCTGTATCCATTACTGACATGACATGTACGTATGCATACTTTTATCCTCAGAAGAAAAAAAAAAATGTTTTCAAACCTATTCATCAGCCTTGACTCGCTCTCATTTCCCCCAACATTCCTGTAGCTCCTCTCTGTCATGCATTTATCTCAGCTCTGCAAAATGTTCTACTAGTTTTCTTTTAGTCCATCATGTCTTCCTCTCTCTGAGAATATAGCTTCTGGTGTTGCAGGTCATTGTTCAGCTGATGGATTGAGCTGAATCTCACATCTTGAAATTCCTTAATATTTAAGCATTGTACTAGTTTTAGCCAGCTCTTATCCAATGGGATAAAAATTAAAGTTACTATAGATCATTCTGAATGCATTACAACTAGCCATGAAATTATGAAGATTATTTTGCTGTACAGAATTTTCTTTATTACCTACTTTTTGCTGCTAATGAATTAACTACATTGATTAAATGTAGTCTAATTAAGAAGTTGTTTGGTTAAATTAAGAGAAATGAGACAGATGGCTTATCTATGAACTTTCATTTTCTTGTGTCTTATTTCTGGAATTCCCATAATTTAATTGTTTAACGTTAAATAACACGATAGCTTTTGATGAAATTGGCTCCTTAAGGCTTGTGCTATTATTAGTTTGATATTTAAGTGCACAAACCAGGGGCACTCCCAGAAAAGTTTCTTAGTGGTGGCTAGACTAGAAGGGGGCAATATTATTTTATTTTTAATTTTATAATTGTGTGTATTTAGTTAGTTATTGGGGTTTACATTTATATCTTGAATGAATAAAACGACTCTACATGCCTTTCTATGACCTGAACACGGTTCCTTGATTCTCTCGAGTCGCCATTTGATTTTAAAGAGCGTGCCAAGCATCCTCCCCGTCCACCACCACTGACACAAACAAGCTGTAGATGTTTGTAGTTGGCAAATAAACTTCATCGTGGCATTGTTTTTTTGACATTGTTGTATGTTCTTTTCTTTTTCTCTGTGTTTATTCAAATGTAGTTTCAGAGCCCACTCCTGTTCCGACTGAACCTCCCAGCACAGAGCCCACTCCCACCATCCCGCCTGCTAAAGAAGGTAAACTTTAACCACAACATGAAGAACAGTCATGAACAGGTAGAATAGTATAATTTATGAGTAATTTAGAAAAACCTAGCTTATAATTTGGGAACATTTATTAAACTGGGAAAAAAAATATGATGTGGAAAAAGAATAGGCTTCTTTTTCCATAAAATCATCAAACAGTTTCTGTAGAGTTAATGTACTGAAGCTGCTTTACTTTATATATTGTCTTGGCAGTCAAGGCAGTGATCAAAGGAACAAAACCATTTTGGACAGCAGGGCAGATGACAACAGTATGTACAAGGCTTAGTGCATGGCCGAGTAATTTACAGATTAATTAAAGACAAAGTATTCTATTGATTTATATGTCATTTCCCGGTATGTGTAGAGGTGAAGTGCAGCGGAAGGTCATCTGTTAGACAGATGAGAGCTGCTGTATTGTGGGATGTCAAACGAAATTGATGATTTTCTGTTCCTATTCTGAGGTGAAAAAGCTCTGCTGTCTCTCCAAAGCTTCATCAAGAGGGAGGAGGGTAGGGAAGCAGGTTCTGTCCATCTCTGACCCAAACATCTCTGAGCTTCTGGTCAATGAGTTTACCTGCTTCCTTAAAATGTTTATTGAGCCTGGAGATCAAACAGCTAACCATGACCGACCATGAGAGGATCTCTGAGGCAACCTGAGAGATTCTTAGTTTCTTCAGAAAATAGTCTTTGGTGTTTGTGCTCCAGGCCTTTGTGTTAAGTTAACAGTATTTACAGCTGACAACCACCTCCTCTTCTCTCCCATATAACTTGGCACAATGGTAATTTTTTTGCTAGGTGCTTCTCAAAATAGGAAGACAGGAAAAGCTGCCCCTTCACATAAAGCAGATGTGTCTTTATCTTTATAACTCTGCTGCACTTGTATCTGCAGTCAGAGAAATAAAGATTTTTAGATAAACAAGGCTGGGTGAGGACTCAAGTCCAATTCATTTACGGCACATGAGGAGGATGGTCACAGAAGTTAAAAAAAAAAAAACTCCATATATTACTGTAAAATAATGGCTTCAAAGTTTTCAGTGTGGGATTATGCTTACTGTAAATGTGTCTAAAAACATTTTGTAGATCTTTAACAGGGAAACATAAGCCCAAACATTGGTATTTCTTAATCAGTATTAAGGAGCCAAGTTCAAACATTATTCATTCTACGTCACAATTTTTCTTTACAAATGGAAACTACAGTAGAGGTTTTAGCATGTTTTATTGCTGCCCTGCCTCGGAGTGGGCATGATTGAATTAACTAAAACCCGTCAAAGTCAAAGTGACCAATGATCGAAGATGATCCAAAATCAAATTAACATCAAAAGAGGCATTACCAAATAAGTCATTGATGAACAAAACACTTTGCTGACTGATAACAGGATATGTTTTGTTTCTCATCATATCCCTGGTTTATTTGTGTTTGTGTGTTTGCTTCAGCCTGCAATAATCAATATCACATGTTTCTGTTTCCATTATGTTGTCATTTCTGAGCTAACACTACTCGAGTCACAATGGGGAAAAAAGACAGAGCCTCTCGACCACTGGCTTCAGTCTAACAGTAGTCTTACATTTTTATTACTTTACATGTGCATGCCGAAATCCAAAATCGACTGCTAAACACAAGGCCTTACATCATTTCTCAGTGACCCCTGAATCCTAATCGTTAAATGAAAACAGGAAGGATTCATGTGCAGAGGCTACAAACAGAAGCAATTTACTTCTACTTCATTAGAGTAACTGTAACTTGATGTATTATACTGTAAATTAAGTAAACTAAAGCAGAAATCATAGTTGATCATAACTGATTTATTTAATGGCTAAAATGGAAATCAAACATAAGAAAAAAGATTCAAACTCCCACCCATAAGCTCTTTGGCCGCCTCCTCTTTTAAAAGGTCACCCTACAACACCAGTCCCTCAGACATGAACCGCTACGCCTGCTGAGCCCATCTTTAAGCATTTCTGTTTAAGTTTCTGACCTTTGTCAGACATGTGCCTCCATGTGAAACAGCATGCAACCTGTACTCCAAGCAAGATAAAAAGGAAAGCGAGAGAGTGTGTGAGGACAACAAGAAAGCAACAGAGGGAAGAAACTGGACAAAAGTGAAGGGTAGAACAAAATAAACACAAAATTTGCTCTGCAGAAAACTGAAACAAAGAAACTGAGAGAAAGGAGGATGAGAGAGTAGAAAAATATGGTGTTCTTGAAAAAAAGTAGGAAAATTATTTAAATTGCTGAAGAAAATGGGAGGAGAGAGCCACTGCAAAGAGAAGTGTCAGTAAAAACCATCACGGCTCCTCGGTTCCATCCTCTTCTGCTGCTTCAGAATTGCAGGCATTTTTCATGCTTTCCCTGAAATTTATGGAGGCCGGTAGGATCATAAACACTGCTTGGAATTTTGTGACTTTGAGTATGAAAAGCCTTTAAAACCCCTAAACAACTTTACAGCTGCTGCAATATGGCTTCTGGGAGTCGTTGAGAAACCTGAGAAGAATAAAAGCAGAGAGCAAAGTCGCTGCGGGGCCACGAACACAACTGAGCTGCTAACAAAAGAAGACATGAAATACATAAACCCGTTAAAAAAGGGCATTTCTCTGAGTTTCGAAGTGAGCTCACAGAGTTAATCCGTCTTTTGAACTTTACAGTGTGTGCATTGCTCTCAAGGTCTGATCCTTGCATATTGGCCCTTTTCTTGGAGATGTGCATTTGCCATGATTCTTACTTTGAATATTTAATCAGTCTTAATAATTAGACAGCCTGTTGAAATTCTGCATTCGCTTTGTCCTTATCCATCTTCTGTTCTGTGTGAAATTATTTGTTTTTTTAATGCAGGTATAAACTTTTGGGGGGTGACTAAGTCTTTCTGTCTTATCTGGCTAGTGTGCAAGGAAGCCAAGGCTGATCTGGCGTTTTTGGTTGACGGCTCTTGGTCCATTGGAGACGACAACTTCATGAAGATCACACGTTTTCTCTACAGCACTATGGGTTCACTGGATCTGATTGGACCAGATGGCACCCAGGTTTGTCACTAATGCTCTGAATTTTTCTCTTTTTGTGTGTGATGCTCAGACAAGTCAAATAGTGACTAAAATATTCAAAGGTGGAGGTGGGAAAGCTGAAGATGTTCTGACTTTTTTTTGAGAATGACCAAAGTGGGCTGACATGAGTATAAATGGACAGTTCAGGCTAAGACATGAGTGGAGAATGTTGAAGGATGTATTAAAGGATGGTTCAGAATTGAAGTCCCAGACGTTATTATTTACATTAAAATTTTGAATAATTTGGTAAATTGTTTTTTGATTCACAGCTTTCCCTCTTAAACAATTTCTTTCCAACATTTAATGTAAAGCAGATGCTCGAAAAGAACCAGTGATTTTAAAATTTGACTACAAAATTAGTGAGCGAAGCTCTCCTTTAAGAGTATGCTAACCCTGTAAAAACGATTCCTGTAGAATTAGCAGTTTGCAGCAATTTAGAAGTTTTCCATGTAGATTGTTAAGCGCTCCAAACCTTTAAATGGGTTGTGGTAATTATCCTATTATTGTGAAATTTCTGTATTTGAAATTGAAATGCACATTTCCTCCTAAACTGGCTATTAGATCATTAAACTTTAGTCTTGTTTTGCTTTTTGCTTTTTACATTTGTGCTTTTAGACCTTTGTTTTATTGGGAAAATTTTATTTCTGGCATGAGTCTACATGGCAGGGAAGCTGTTTTTTTTTACCCAATTTTCATTTGTTACTCCCCTGAGAAACCTGATTGTCTGCAGCCCTTTATCTACTTAAGTTTAGGAAAGTGAGAAGGAACTTTATTCCCCTAGTGAGTCAATCTTTACTTTCTGGAGCGACTTACAAGTTGCTGAGCTGCATTCGATTAACTTTGCTCATTTTCTGCCACTGTGTTCTTTGCCAGGAAACACTACTTCTTGTGTATAAATGGTGGTTTTAATAAGTTAAATCTGCATGAATTAGAAGCTGGAATAAGCATCAAGTGGTTCGAGCAGGGAAGGAGGCATTTCTCTGACTCATCCTGCCACAGTTTTACCATTAGGCTGATCAATATAGCAATGCCAGGCTTTAACTCCTTCCAGTGTAAAACTGATTTATTGGGGCCTCTTTCCTCTGTGGCCTCCATGATGTCAGCAGACTTCAGCTGCTTCATTTGTCACACTATATAGGTGCTTGCTAAACCTTTTTTTTTTTCATTTGTGTAATGTCTGCTGTTAAACAGTTTGCTGCCTTTGCTGTTCCCCAAAACCTCCGAGCAGTGGGATACTGACAGCAAGCCACTGGCTGTAATGTGAGAAAGTTGGCTGCACTGTAAAGAGGCAGTGGGCCCATAAATGTAATCAGACAAGAGCCAGCAGTAGCACCATTAGTGGTGTGGAGGGGATGATGGGGTCCATCGCTCTAAGAGAAACCTATTAGATTGATTATAGGTCAGAGTTAGATGTCTGAACAAAATGCGTCTTCTAGAACTATTCACACCCAGCTGGACTCTTCTACATGTTGCATCAGAAATGTTGGTGTGTTTTCTTTTGATTTGTTAGACCAACATAAAGTTGTGAATAGCTGAGAAGTAGAATAATGTATGCATTTAACATACTAATAATCTAAAATACAGGACACTTTTATATCAGGGAGCTCTGATTCAGCGCAAGTCCCTACCAGGTTTCCACTTCTGCAAGCTGCCATTTTAGCTTTTTCTCTTTAACAAACAATAAGCTCAGTTCTATTGAATGGAGAGCTTCTATAAACATAAATTTTCATGTTCTGCCATGGATTCTCATTTATATTTACGTCTGGATGTTGTTCATGTGTTCATGTTCTAACACATGACCAAGTTTTGATCTAAACCATCCCATTGCTCTGTAGCTTTGGCTGGATGCTTTGGTTCACCTCCAGTCTTCAGAATGACTTAAGAAAACAAACCAAGTGTTTAATGTCATCTGTTATATCCAAAGTAAATGCAAATACAGCAGATAAAACTGAAGTGGATGTTAAGTTGCTAGACTATAAGAATTTCTGCTTGTTTCAAAGTTTGCTGAACCAAACCTGCACAGACTAATGGAGCTATTTTCAAGTGATAATGAAGATCAACACTTTGGTGTTGATGTGAATTGATAGGGCAGAATGTTGTTTTCTGTGAAAATTATTTCTCTAGGTGCAGACAGGTAGGAATTGGACGCTGAGAGCATTTTCTCTCTCTACGCCGAGAACTTATTCGCCGTCTCCGTTTCTCCGCAGGTGGCTGTCGCTCAGTTCAGCGACGACGCACGGACTGAATTTCTGCTGAGTTCCCACGGTAACAAGGAAGCGCTGCTGGAAGCCATTCAGAAGATCAGATACAAGGGCGGGAACACCAAGACAGGTTAGAAGAAGTTGTCATCAAGATTACTGTGGTGATGCTCTCATTTTCAAAGGAGAGCACCAACACAAACTTGCAGTTTCTCTTACATTAGTCTAAATTTACCGCTGATTTGTGAAAACAGTCCCATAAGATTTTTGCAGATAGTAGTTTCCCCTCGTAAAAAAAAATAAATAAATAAATTGGGAGAACTTGGAGTCCTCAGGTAGTCCTGAAATATTGATGTTGGAAGTTGGAGCTGAAATCACAATATTCCCACAATGTCTTTTAAAACTAATTTTAATTCTCCAAGTGAATGTTTTCATTCATTCTGGACCAGTGGGAAGGATCCATTTACGCTCCAACCAGTAGCTGTTTCTAGTGTGGACAGACACACTCCAAACAGCTACTGGTTTTCTTTCATCTGGAGTCAGGAAGGCATATTTCCTCAAGACAATCAAGCTTCATTTCCAAACCTGAAATGTTATAAACTTTGCATGCTTTGGAAAATGTCTTTATTTGTTCAAGCAGCTCTTCATTATGTTTCCATCTTGCACCCTGACACACAGCTAAATTCATTTTAGTTTTTGGTGGTATTGTTCATGAAATGATGGCAAGTTTTTTTTTTTTTTTTTAATAGCATAAATTAATACACAAATAAGTTTTAAAAACCTATTTAAGTATGTGATCATTTAAGCAGAACCGAAACCACAATCAATAGATTTATTAAAAAAAAAAAACACCACCAAAATGCATGTCATGACAATCTGTTCAATATTTCATTGAATGTAAAAATAAAAATAAGTAAAACATGTTTTTATGTTTTATGGAATCACTGTTATACTCCTGTGCTGCAGCGTATTATGAATGTATTTATTTTGTCAGCCTTTCGTATCACAGTGCATCGACTGTGATATGGCTATAGATGATCTGATTGGTTGGCTATGGAGGTGCTATCCATGTTCACCAATGAGCATTTATGCTCCACTTATGAAGCCATAGTGACATTTTATTATGTCATGATAGACTGTTGCATAGGAAATATGAAGTAATAATAAAAAATACTAAAATAAATGTATATTTGCACCATATAATTAGTGCATTCAATACATTGACATAATAATAAAACTGCTAAATGTTCATATGACACATTTACCACACTTCTGTTTTAATTATTACATATATCATTATTTTATTACTTGTCTGTTTATTACATTCTGGCATCTCTGAGCTGTTAATCCCAATTTTTTTTTCTCTCTTTTTTTAACCACACTGCTGCCAAAAAGCGGGTAAAATCCATCCAACTGAATGACTTCACTCTACAGCCATGCTATCACTTACTGCAGGGGGAAAATATATCAATTCCTGGTCAGGATGCATGAGATGATCACGCCTGTAAAATTGGGGCGGATGTTTCTTCTGTACCAGGACACATGAGATGGTTGTCAATAATTCAGCTGGTTTCTGCTTTTATTGGCAATCCTGGTTGTTAAAGACACTTTCATTCAGCTGACATCTGAAATTTGTGTTCAACATGTTTATCTGTCCTTGAAAATACAGTAACTACATGTTCAAGGCCTCTGATATATATATCACAAAATAAAAGTAACTACAGAAATAAACAAATACAAAACAGATGGCATAGACCAAAACAAATTAGGGTAATTACAGTACAATAAAAAACATTCTGCAAAATGCATTCACTTCAATATTTTGTCTTCAGCTCTGCAAATTCTTTCTCTATTTGCTTACAGCTTGAAAAGACGGAAATGGAGCGAGTGTTTTAGCTGACAGGACAGAATCCAAACCAAATGTATGTGGAGTACAGCAAAGCAGAAAATGAACCATGATATTTCATCTTCAGACCACAGAGGGGTGAAAGAGAATCAGCTGAGGTCCGGCTAATGCTCAAAGACACAAAATCAATCTTTCTTTCTCTTTGTCTTGGAGCATTACAAAAACTGAAAGTTACAGAAATTAAGTTTTTATCCGTGAGCGTTTTAAATTTCCCACTCTGAAGTTTTTGTTTTATTGTCACTAAATCATAAAGCGGGGCTGTTTGAATACACAAACATCTCATGTGCTTCCGAGTTAACTGCAAGAAGATGCAGGGATTCAAAGAAATGTGAAAATGACATCCATAACACTAACAGCTAGTTTAATTTTAAAATCCAAAAATTGCTGTTTGTGCTTAAATTAAAAATGGTTTTCACTGATTTGCAAATGATTCATTCATCACATTCTGTCACATTACAACCAGAAACCTCATTGTGTTCTACTGTAATTTTATATGACAGGTTTACACATATAAAGACTTCTATAGAGATATTTTTGTCTAATTTGTTTAATATTTTCTAAAGCTCTGTCAGATTGGATGAAAAACATCTGCTAACATACATTTTCAAGTCTTCCCACAGATTGTGCTAGATTTAGGTCTGAATTTTGATTGTGCATTTTTAGAAAATTGCACTGCACTGTCGCTGTACGAGTGTTGCTGCCCTGGATGAAGGCGAACCTCAGTCCCTGTCCCAAGTCTTTTGAAGCATCTGAATTTTTATGGGTCTGGAATTGCTCTCTTTAGCCCCTTCCATCTTTCTGTCAAGTTTATTTGTGTAGCACATTTCAGAAAAAAGGCACTTCAAAGTCCCTCACATGATACAAATGTAAGACAATGAGCAAACAATAAAATCTTTGTGAAAAGTTGCTGTCAAGAGTAGATATAATCAATGGCCACTTATTTAAAAAAGGCAACTCTAAAGAAGTGGGTTTTAGTCTTGATTTAAAGGAACTCTGTGTTTCATCTGTTTTGCAGTTTTCTAGAAGTTTATTCCAGATTTATGGAGCACAAAAACCGAATGCTGCTTCTCCACATTTGTTTCTGATTATGTAGGATGTACATCAGACCAGAACCAGAAGACCTGAGTGGCCTGGATGGTCGATCCAGTGACAATATTATTCAATGTATTTTGGTGCCAAGTCATTCATGGATTTATAGATTAACAGTAATATCTTAAAGTCTATTTCCTCGGAGTTAGTGGAAGGACTTCAGAGTGATGTGCTCCATCTTCCTGGTTTTAGTGAGGATGTGAGCACCACTGGTATATTTACTTCAGCTGTAGAATCCTCTTTTTCTTTTTTTTTTGCTCCAATGTCATAAAATGTTTCCTAAGGAGTCGGTATTGTAATAGATAAACATTTTGGCAGTGACACAAAAGTTATTCTTCGCTAACTCTATCTAAGACAGACTAAAAGACAAAAGGTCTTTAATTGTTGAGCTTTTCAAACCTGCTGAAATTAAATTGTAGTCCGACATGAAATTATCTTTTGCTTCTGTCTATTTTTTGCATTTTCAATGCTAAAACATTTGGTCTGTTTGCTGATCACAGAGGGAATATTATTAAACAATATGCGTGTACACCTTCGGTTTTGAGCGACTGAAATTCTGTTGCCAAGTTACAACAATTGGAACAGAAATTTATTGTTTCACTTGATGGATTGGCATAATTTATGAAGGTAAAATATGTTATCTTTTCCTGAGCTGTTTAACTACACCATGTACAAAATATTTCTTTAACGATTTCACACGTTGCAAGTAAAAGACGCTGCCTCTTTAAAAACTTTTTGCCACTATTAGTAGTGATATTAATACACTAGAAGAGCATTTTGAGGACTCAGTTTATTAGTGGTGATATTCCAGTTTGTGGCTTCTTGTCATGAATTTATTCATCAGGGCAATAGTGAACCTTGCTACTTCGACAGCTGCTATGTAATGTTATTCTCTCTGTTCCTGCATTTGTGAGTGTGTGTTTTGACTTTCTCACCCTGTGTGTAATCATCCTTCAGCCTTGATAATGCTTAGCTTTGCAGTATACAGACATTGGGGATGTTTTTCCTTATTTGTTATCAAAAGTCCAGCAAGAAGACAGTGTGTGTTTGTATGCTTTGTGCAAATGGTGAAAACTACCATTATGAATTTTTTCATGTTTCAGGAGTGTATTTTATATTTATTATGAATTTGCATATATTTGGGAAAGAGATGTTAATGGTTTGCTTTTCTTTTGGCAGAGAGATTGTAAGTCTATAAAGCAAAGATTATCAATAAAAACCATGGCTTACTGAGAAAAATACACAGTTGCTACTAGTTTCTTTCCGACTCAACAAACTTTTCCCTCTCAACGCTTTTTGCATATTTTTAGCACATTTAAACAAGGCCTTAATAATTGATAACTGTGATAAATTTACGCATGATAATCCTGAAAATGACTGAGATCCTTCCAAGCTTGCTGTATAATGTATTGATAAAATACAAACTTTAGTACAGTTTCCCAGTCAAATTGGGCCAGATCTAACACCAGATTGTGCTAACTGCTTAGCATGTAAAAAGACAATAAAGGAACAAACTCTTATCTAATGAGAAGTTCAATCTTAACTAAACATGACTCACTGGCATTACATTTAATGCAGCTATATTTTACCATCTTGTGATTTCTGCTGGTTTTTGACCCAACAGACTGGGTCATAATTTGTGTGTGTTTTGTAATGGTATCTCTCTCTTAGGCAGCAGATACAAAGCTGAGAGACACCACCAAAAAATCCTGTTTGTCTTTAGAAAATGACTCCATTTTGATAAGCGACATCTGAAGACAAACTACCTTGAAAAGTGTTCATTTAGACATTTCCTCATCCTCTCTTTCCCTGTTCTGGTCTTTTCCGTCTGAACCCTCTCCATCAGCCTCCATCGCCCGGCCCCCTGCTCCATCTGATAGCTGCCCTCCTCCCGGTGTTGTCTTCTGTGTCTCTTCATGCCTCGCTAGCTGCTGCATTTCTAGACATGCCTGTCACGATCAGTGTGTAGAAACAGATGTACCGCTCACAGATGTCTGACATCACAACGTTTTACAGGCTGACAGCTTTGTCATTTGTCATCACAGACGGGTTCTTGAAAAAGTGGAGAGAGAGAGAAAGTTGTGATATAGTCTGAAAGTTTTGCTTGAAGTTCAGGGACAGTAATATATGTGCTGTATACTATTAATCAATTTATGGTTGTTTATTAAATTTCTGCAACAATTAGAGTTTACTATCTCAACTCAAACACATAAATGTCCCTTGCAGGATGATTAGCAATAACCCCATTTAAACTGATTATGTAAATAATGATGTACTAAATTGGGACTAAAATTAAAAAACTGCCTGTGTGACAAGATTACACTTCTCACTTTCTGTTTGGTAGAATCAATTACTTTTAGTTCACTTCATGGGGCAAACGGTGAGCTGACAGGAGAAATACTTCATTTCTGCACAATATTAAAACGAGTAGCCAGTCTACTGCTGTGCTGTGGTGAGTTGAAAGCCCTCCCTTGTGTAAGATTTATAAAATTTGCTGCGATGTGTTCACAGACGTGGCCTTTATCAGGGGTGGGTCTGGAAACCTTTTAAAGCCGTCTAGACATTTCGCATTGAACGATTAGGTTCATTATCAGGTGATCAGACCTCAAGATGTGCAAACTTTGTGTAATGTTCTGGCTTAATGTTAAATCATCCAACACGACATGTTTGTGTTAGTCTCAATCCTCAGTGCTTAGGTCATCACTTCTCTGACATTGTCTTGTTAGGTTGATGATAAAAAGCTTTAACTCATATCCGTGTAATAATTGCTACGCTCAGAAATGTACCTGATTAATGCCATTGAAAGATGAATTAATTATAGTGGAGGAATTTGAGGAGCCATCTTTGTAGTTTCCCTGATATTCATTTTATGCTGCCCCTTTTTTGATCCAGTATAAAGTAGCATCAGTATTTACTTGGTACATGTAATATTTTTGTTAAAGTGATGGCGTAAACTATCATAGCAGAACAAATGTTATTAAAGGCACCCATTTTAAATAAGGATTTACATTATTTGTAAAGCAATTTCAAGCATTTTTTTCTTCAAGAAGGGTTGTTTATCTTTTACTTGGTCATTTTTTTAGATTAAAGACTATACCGTTATATAGTAGTTTGTTGGCTTATATTTCTAAAAGTTTTCAGTCACTTCCCTTCGAATTGATCCTGAAAACAATGTCACTGAAAAAAGTTTCTGCTGTTTGAGGAGGTTATAAAGACATCAAAGCCATAACATGGATTTATTAAAGTAAGCCAACTGTGGCGATACGCTCATGAATGGACTTTCATGATGGGTTTGATTTAAAAGATGTAATTATGTGAGGGGGCTGGTTCTGATGAAGGGAGTGTCAGCAACTCATTAAAACGGGAACATAATCAGCAGAGTGAGGAAAAAGCCTTTAATGTCCAGGTTATACAGTATGATGCACAGAGAGAGAGAGCTGTGAATCAGGGATTAACCAGAAAAGGCTGGGGTGTTGTCACAGTAAACATCAACTACAGAGAATCTGCTTGTTTTAAAGTCTTAGGATTGGACTAGTCTGCTTGAACCAAAATCTTCAAACAGAATTAAAACAACAGGGATTTTCCTCCTGATTCAATTACAGTGACTTACACACTTACTTGTCTTCCTTATACACATGTGTACAACGCTTTCGAATAAGATATGTTTTATTGCAGCAGCATAATTTCACTCTGAAAGATCTAGAAAATTATATAACTTTTAATTTGGGTACATTTACTTACTGTAAGGCAGGCAAAGCATTCATTTAAACAAAAAAACACACACATTTAAATCTAAATGTCTTATTTGTTTTTTGTTTCCTCCTCAGGTCGAGCCATCAAGCACGTGAAGGAATCCATCTTCACGCCAGAGGCCGGAGCCAGGAGGGGCGTTCCCAAGGTCCTGGTTGTTCTGACTGATGGACGGTCGCAGGACGATGTCAACAAAGTGTCAAAGGAGATGCAAATGGAGGGTGGGTGCTCCGATTCGTCAAGTGTAGAAATGGTTGATTACAACAGGAATGATGTCACACCTGAGCTTAGCACGTTTGTGGATGTGCACTCTAACATGTCTATTAATAATTAATAATAAACAAACTCCTTGTTTGACTCTGTTTCATAATGCTTCTTAAACTATCGGTGGTATTTAGTTTGAGTCTGTTTAGTAGCTGTGAAACTCAAAAGATTTCTACAGTCTTTTTTATATTTTATTTCCATTTACTCCAGACTTATCAGAAGACTTTCTGTTTCATGCCACTTCTAGGCTACATCATCTTTGCAATCGGCTTTGCGGATGCAGACTATGGAGAGCTGGTGAATATTGCCAGCAAGCCCAGCGAGAGACACGTCTTTTTCGTGGATGATCTGGATGCTGTGAAGAAAATAGAGGAGCAACTTATTACCTTCGTCTGTGAGGCAGCCACCGCCAGTGAGTGGCACCAGCTTATGTTTTAAACCCCCACCGAATCCATGAATCTTCAGGGAAAGAGGCGTTGTCTAGAGTTTATTTAAATGCTGGCTGATGATGGTCATAAACTCTTTGTCTTTCAGCTTGTCCATCTATGCTGATGAGCGGCAACACGCTGGCAGGTGAGAGATTTGATCAAATGAGCAACACACACGCCGCACAGGCTGGCGGAGGCTCATTCGCCGTTAAGCGAACAGCGATAATGATGGCGCAGACGAGACGGTTGACAATTATGTAGGTGATAATCTCGCTGAGGAAAACTAACTGTGGTTTTCATGACTCTGCTTCAGGCTTCAAAATGATGGAGAAGTTTGGCCTGGTGGAGAAGGAGTACAGCACCCTGCCTGGAGTTTCTCTGGAGCCTGGTTCGTTTAACAGCTTCCCCTGCTACAGGTTACACCGCGATGCCCTGGTGTCGCAGCCCACCAAGTGAGCAAGAGCATGTCCTCCCCGAGATATCAAATACACGCTGTGTAAAGCATGGTAGAGCAAACGAAGCCTAAAATGTAACTTTTTTTTTAGTCTGCCCAAAGATTTTCTATCCACTTTAAAGCAAACATTGGTTAAAGCTGCTCTTGGAGAAAGTGCTTTCTAAATGTAATTCTAACCCAAAAAATGGTCATTGCCAAAAACCCCGCCATGCCCACAGTGTTGGGAGCATTATGATCTGAAGTTTCTTTTTTACAGATGGAACTGTTTTTTTTTGTGTTTTTTTTTTGTTTGGTTGTTTTGTTTAGTTATGTTTTTTGTTTTTTTAGTCAAGACGGAGAAAAATATAAACAGGGCCGTCAGTCATGATCTAAAACCCTCAGACATCTGATGGGAAATGTATTTTACTTTTTCCCATCAGAATGAGAAGGTTTATTCATGAGGGAAAAGTTAAAGTTTTAGAGTAACAATCAGAGAACAGAACTAAAGTTTGATCTGGTAGATCTAGGAGATTGTTGCAAGACAAAGGAGAGGGATGTTTCCAAGCCTCTGTGTGGAATGGTAATAGATTATTTCCAAATTACACATTTTTTTTTTTAATTTGCGTCCACATTATTTTATTTGCTGATCAATGGGGTGCATTGATCAGTGTGGTGCGTTGGCCAGATCAGGCGCCCCATAGATCAGCAAATAGAATAATCCGGATGTACTCTTACATCAGTGGTGACTTCCAACGTTTCTTGTACTCTTGCAGTTTTCTTTCCTATGAATAAGTTTGGATGGCAATAATAATAAGTGTTTCAAACGATTCAGTGGGGTTTACAAAAGAGAGTTCGGTTTGACAGCATTTTCGAAAATGCAAGAATATGGTAAAAAAAAAATAAAATAACTTGCTTTATTTGAATTCCTCATGAATTTAATGTGTTTTTTTGTTTTACCGTTTTAAAACACAGCTCTTAATGCAGCTCAGAGAGGTACTACATTCAAATAAATACATAAAAATTGATGTTGTTGCCAGTTACCACCAGGGAGCATTTATCTAGAGCCTCCTTGCATGAAAATAGAAATCCTTTGTGTAGCAAAGGTAATTGGAAGCTTTTAATGGCTTCATTTGAGCTCCTGTAATGTTTTCCTTTCTGTGATGTTGTCATTTTAGGAGCTTTTTTTTCCCAGTTTGTGCTGTCAACAGGCTGTAATTGTACCTTCCTGTTGTGTGATTGTTCTATTTTTTAAAACTGTCAGCAATGAACAGTTTGGAAAGTTTAGGGTGGCATTAAAAAACCCTCATGCTCAGAGGCAGTTATTCAAAACACGGTGGGTTCTTTGATCAGAAAAAGCCAGCGGATGCGCAGTCTGTCTGGAGCTGCAGAGAGCGCTGCACCAGCCGCTGCAGCAGCTGAAGCGAGTCAAAAGGCACTTGTAAAAGACTTCCAGAGGCTACGTGGCTCTGAGGCACGGCTAAGCCTGCTGTGTTTCTCTGTTTGTCTGCTCCACAGGTACCTTCACCCTGAGGGTTTGCCATCCGACTACACCATTTCTATGATGCTCCGTTTGCTCCCTGAGACCCCGCAGGAACCCTTTGCTTTGTGGGAAATCCTCAACAAAGACAATGCGCCGATGGTGGGCCTAATCCTCGACAGTGAGTCTGAGTCGCTGAAAGTTTTTCGGCTCTCTTTTTTTTTTTTTCTTTCCTTTAGTTTTCCTGCTTTCTTTCAAGTAAGCCGAGGAAGTTCACAATTTTGGAAGCAAAACTGCAGAAACACGGCTGAGACTATCACTTTTAATCCCATCAAATGTTCTCGACCTTTATCTAGAGCAGTGGTAGGTAAACTCAGCCTCCAAGAGCTACTGTCCTGTATATTTTAGACATGTCCGATCTCCAACACAGCCGAGTTGATGGCTGAAAATTTTACGGAGGCTGTGGTAATGAGTCTTCTCGTTCGATTCAGCCGTATTGAGCGAAGGGAACATCCGACTCCTGCAGGACATCGACCATTGAGGACTGGCTTCGGACACACCTGATCTAAGCATTTTGTTCCTCCAAATAATTGCACCTCTTAAATCCTACTGAATAATTTTCATTCATTTGTAACTTGGATTGAACTCAAAGCTCACATTGCAACTCTTATCTCCAAATTACTACAGTACAAAAAAAAAAAAAGAGAAAGGGCTTCAGGAAGCATTTTATTTTGATTGTGATATTTATACAAATGGTATCATTGAGATGGCTTGTTTTTCCAAAAACAGCATAGCTGAGTTAAATCCAAGAAAAGTTAATTCTGTCTGCAAACGTGAACTTCCTCTAACCTCGTCCCCCAGGCTCTGGGAAGACGCTGACATTCTTCAACCACGACTACAGAGGAGACTTCCAGACTGTTACGTTTGAAGGACCAGAAATCAAAAAGGTTTTCCACGGCAGCTTCCACAAGGTGTGTGTTGCGGACAAGTATCTTAAACCATTTCGTTTAAAGTGTGGATGTAGCCTGAAGTAAAAATGGGCCCTGAATAACTTTCTATATCCTGTTAACATTTCTACTTTGTCATGTTATACAAACTTCGATCAGGATTTTATTTGAAGTATTAAAGCCGCTGAAGGAAAGGATTCTTTTTCAGAAATGTTTCACAAATAAAAACTTGACCTTTTAATATGACACCCTTTGGTAAAAGTGTTATAAATTACAGATGTTCTTTCACAGGTTTACCAGAAAACACTAATGAACAATAACCATCATGATATCCAAGGGAAACACCAGACTGGTCAGGGATAGAGTAGTCGAGAAGGTTACGCAGGTTTAGGTTATAAAACAAGCTTTTATGATCGCCATTATATGAGTGTGACACAAGTGTAGGTATAATTTAGGACATGATTGTCAAGCCGAGGGCCAGAAGGGGAGCGTTTGTCAGAAAAAAACAGCCAAAAGGCCTGTTCAGACCCACAACTCAGCTTGGAGAATCTGTTAGGAGAAAACCATCAGACATATTTGATATTATCCAAGAGACATGTAAGGGACAGAGGGGAAACAATTGTGAGAGAAAACCTGTTATAATGGGAAAAAAACTAAAGACTGGGGCAGTGGGTCGCCTTCCAGGAGGATAATGATCCCAAAAACGGAGCCAGAGCTGCAGAGGAACATTTTCTTCTGACCCTCATTGTCTTTAATTGTATAATTTATTGATCTATTTGTGTCTTCTTACTTCAATAATTTCTAGTTTTTATTAAGCAGTTACCCAGTTTTATCCTCTTTACACCTATCTGTATGCAAAGTGCTCTACAATTGCAGATGATTGATTGAATGATGGGTTACAATGCAGACCCGAATCAATGAATTGAGATTCTGTGGCGAAACTTGGAAAATTGATGTTCACAGGCTCTCCTGTCTCATCTGACTGGTGTAACTTGGAAAGAAAAATTTGTGAAAAATTCAGATGAGCTGACGGAGACATCCTCCAAAAGACCTACAGCTGTAACCGCATGTGGTTCTGTACAGTATTGACTTGGGAGGCAAAATACAAAGTCCATACTTTTAAGATTTTTAACTGTGAAAAATAATTAAACCAAGTACCTTTTTAGCTCTACAGTTTACTTATGCACTACTTTGTGCTGGTGTGTCATTAAAAAAACAATAAAGTATATGATGTTTGTGGTGCAATTGATAAAAACACTAGAAATTGGTATGGATACTTTTGCAAGTCCCTGTGAAAGTTAATGAAGACCAATTTCATAATACACTTGCAGATAAACCTTCTGACTGCGGCACAGAAACTGTGCTGAACAGAGGGGAGCTGGTGGAGCTGGACTGTAGGTTACAGGCAGCTGTGAAGCACAAAAACAGGAACATCCCACGAGTATTTGGATGTTTTTGAAGTTGTACATTTAGGCTGGGGGGATTTCAGAGCCTCGTGGGCTGAGAATGTTCTCTTTATTTTATCAGCACTGTTTTAGAGAGTTTGAACCTCCAACTAAAGAGCCCATCTCCCTCCTCACGGTCTGTCTTTTCTGATTTATTAATATTTTGACTTTTATATATGATTGAACCACACACACGGGAGTTTGAGAAAACGAGACCTCTTTTCTCTTTCTAATTTAGCTCAGCCCCGGTGGGTATACCATTAAGCTGAATTGTTTCTCATTTAGATATTTTAATAAAGTGGATTTTTATGTAAATTGTGTGGTATCGCACTGAAAAAGCAGCACCAAAGTCCAGGGAGATTTCTGTTGCAGAAAAACTTTTATTCCCGTTTATGAGAAACAATTAAAAATGAAAATTATAACATAGGCTAAACAATAATACAGGTGTGGAATAAATGATTTGGTCTCCACAGACTTAGTATATGCAGACTACAAAACTCTGATCAGCCCCATTAAAATGAAGATATTCAATCCTCAGAGATCTTGTCTGAATATCTCTAACTGGTTAGTTCTAAGAAACTTGCTAGGATTTGGAAAATAAAGCATTATTCTTTTTTTAAGGAGCAGCTGGTTTATACTGTCACTACTTAAAGTTTTTTTTTTTTTTTTTGCTAAAAACAACCTCACAGCCACCCACCAGCCTCCAGTTTTCCATTCCTTATCTCAAAATGTGCGGGAGTAGCTGTCCATCATTCAGCCGTTTGCCTTTGTTGGCGAACATGGCGACGTTCAGAGCAGGAACAGATGCAGAGGACTGCCAGACCAAAGGAAGTGTTTGCTTCTATTTAGACAGGATGACAAGTGAATAAGAGGAGTGTTCGTGAGCATGAGCTTGTTTGTGTGGCCTTTAGAAAAGGATTACCATATGAAGACGCCGCACGTTAAAGCAGGAAACCCAGTAGGATCTGTCAAAGCTTACTGAGGCACACAGGCACAGACGGGCCGACAAACCCCGGGGGGAGAGACGGAAAACAGGAACAGGTAAAAGTAGAGAACAGAGGAATAGATATAAATGACTCTGAGTTTTAGTCGCAAAGAAAAAAATATAGTCATAAAAAACGGAGACACAAAGGGGAGAAGAGAAACTTGTCTTTGCTGTAACTCACACATTGCTCAGAGCCATAATATTCTCCAGAGGCGTGTGAATGCTATTTTTGTACCTCCCCACATGATTAAACATTAAAAAAGACATGTGTGCTAAAACTCTTTCTGTGAGCTACAAATCATCGTTGTAGAGCTTTAACTAGCTTTTTTGGGTTTTCTAGCTCTCAGTCACTTACAGAGTCTCATGGTGTAGTTAAAATAAAATAAAATATATTTGTATATCTTAAAATCATATGCAGCCCTTAAACAGATTATGTAAAATCACAACAGTGGGCATCAATAAATAGGAAGTTAGCTGAAATGAGTGACACCAATCATTAAACAGCCTTCATCTGGGCTCTGATCCATTATTATTCATCAGTGGGATTAAGTTTCAATCAGATTATAATTTCTGATCCAGTGAATTTATGTGTGTGTTTTTTTTTCCTCTTATTCCAGATTGTTGTCACTTGTAGTCACTCCCTATTTTTCTTGTCCCAATACCCGTCTTCAGGAGACCACATATTTAGGGGTGAACTTTGACTAGGTCATTCACTGCTCCTTTAAGACCTAAAAAAAAAAAACAAACAAAAAACACACATCTATTTTAAGGTCCAGTTAATGCTGTTTAATGCATCTGAAAAATTTTGGGTGAAAACTGTCATTCAATCAGACTTTATATTTTAAATTAGCTCAACGAAAACCGCAGTTGCATGTTTGATAAAGGGACACCAGCTCACGCTGTTGCCAGGACGATGTTGTTCTGTGGGTTTGTTTGGCATTTATGGTGATGTTCTTTGCCAGAAATAACTTTTAAACCATGGCTTTTAGCTGTGGTTGTTTTGCTCAATGACATGAAGGATCAGATGTCAAGAAAATGCTTCTGGGAGAGTTGAACTTAATTTCCTTTCTAATTGGATTCGCAATAACGGATGGCAGGTGTGAACCCAGGAAGACTGAATGTTGAAATTGAATCAAAAGGTTCAAGAACGTATGAGTTTAAGTTTTCCACATCTGTTTACTTTATTGGGTTTCAGTTAAATTGACAAATGTGTGTGAACTGATAGCCACTCTATGGTACATTGCTATATCAATGACAAGAAGAAAAGTACATCCTGGAAGTGGTAAGCTTCAAGCTCTGTTTTTCTTTGAGAATGTGACCTTTTAAGAGAGAAAAACGTGTTCATAATTTAAAATTAAAACATGTGCTTTTACTTCCTGGCAAGATAATTTTGATTTTATAAAACCGAAATGTGCAAACAAGACATTTTTCATTTAGCATGAAGGCCAGAGTCACATGGAGGAAAATGCTGAAACACAGAAAGACAGACATGCACATACCACACAGTGCTGCTTATATACCATCGACATTTCCCTGCCCTGCACTCATTCCCTAACCGCTAATATTAACCTTAACTGAATGCCACTAAATATCAGCTAAATGTCTGCACCATGGAGGATTTTCATTATGCTTTATTTCACAAAAGCTCAACACACGTTATGACCGGTGAAGTATTCAGACTGAAGGACACAAAAGTCATTTAAAAAAAAAAAAAAATGAGGTTCACACCTCAGCAGAGGACTGCATTCTGGCTCTCACATCTGAACTTTGTCTCCATATTATCTGCAAATAACATTCATTTATGCACCTTTGACATAGGATGCCTGTGCATGTTTTGCTGAAGATGAGCAAGAGCATAGAGGTTATGAGGGGGAAAAAAAAGCATAATGGGGAAACACACAGACGCTAATGGTCTAGGTTATTACTGTCCTTCACCAGAATACCGGTTTCTTTCCTCATTAACTGTACAGACATCTGGATGTGATGGTTCATGGATCTGGCAGCACTTTTCTCTTAAGTAGGCAGTTTTAGCTCACAGACTTCCAGAGCTCAGGGTGGATCGGGTTATTTGTTTGCTCATTGCAGATACTTTTGGAAAGTATTTATCTAAAAGGGAAAAAAAATGCACAGGCACAGGGGAGTTTATAGTCAGGGTGATTATAGAGCTCATTTGCTGAAACACTCTGGGAATATTCCCAGAATAGTCCAACTTCAGTCTGGCTCATCAAGCCAGCTTTGGCCTAAAAGCACACTGGCAGTACCTTTCTACTTGACTGCATGTATTTGACTGGAAATATAAACCTAAAAGTTGGCAACTGAATCATAAGAATAAATGGTGAAAAACCGCTGAATAAATTTTAATTGTTCAATTTGGTGTGTAAGATCATTTATTTTTGACGTGTCGTTAGGTTAGACACAGAACCAAAATGATGCACAGTAGTAACGAAGAATCAACCAAGCGAATTTAAAGAAATTTCTCACTCAAAGCAAAGAAAAGAGCCACATTTCTACTTTAAATATCATAAAATAAATTCATTTTGAAAATAAAACCTGATCCCGTTTTTATCATGGTGCAGGTTCCTGAGAAATTTAGATCACAAAATTGGACTAATTTATGCAAAAAACTTTAATTTGAAAGTTTATTTTGAAAGGTAAACACAATCCCGTGGTAGGCACCAGTTAAGTAACAACAATCTTATGGTATCCATTTTGTAGTAATTTCACCTATGAAACTGTGAAGCTTTTATTTTGAAGGGTATTTCTGAATGTCCAGCATAAACCTTTTCAAGTTGCGGGACCACTTGGTGAAAGTGTCCTCTATTTCCACTAGCTTAACGCTGTGTTTAGTTGGATTGCTTCAACACATTGAGATTTAAGCAGAATTAAGGATAATTTCAAAGATTGCTCACTGTTATCTTACTCTGATGTCTGTCAATTAGGAAATTTCTATCACACCTTGTTTTCTGACCCTGCTCTTGCTCTGCCACACAGCTCCATGTAACCGTCAGCAAGACGTCGGTGAAGGTGGTGTTGGACTGCTCTGTGGTCGGGGAGAAGTCCATCAGAGCGGCTGGGAATATCACCACAGACGGAGTCGAGGTCCTGGGGAAAATGGTTCGGTCCAGAGCCAAAAGAGACGGCTCTGCTCCGGTTAGTACCGATTAATGTATATCTATAGACAAAAGAAGATTCTAGGATGGTGGAGGAAAAAAAATGCCTTGGAGTCCACTCTTGAAATTTTACAGAGAGAAATTTGACAAAATATTAATTTGTGCAAAATATGTTGCTGTGCTTGCTGTCCACCCCCTCCATATTCCAAGAGGGTGTGAAAAATGTGTGAAAATTTACCCCCATAAATACCTTGTAGTGAGTCAATCAGTGGGAGTACATTGTATTTATGGCAAGTGGAAATTTGCAAAGTGTCACAAATGTATGAAAAAAAGTGATTTTGAGCACATATTGGCAGGCAGGATGGTGAGACATCCTGCTGGAAATACAAAGTGCTATCATGGAGCTATTATTAGGTGTTTACTTTTAATTTGTTTAAAACAATGCAAGTTTTATTTATTCTGTTTTCAAAATATCTAATCATAAACTTATAATTATCATTAATGTAATAATAATAACCATTATTAGTATTATTGATCATGACTTTATCATGTTGAGAAGAGGCTTTTTCAGATATAAATTGAGTAAATAACTAAAACCTGAAAGTCCCAGATACAAGATGAAGTGCAGATTACAGAGAGAGGGTTACTAAAGATGATGACACACAAAATACCTACAATAGTTTCCATACCAGGAACTTTTGCCTCAATTAATTTTATTTGAACATTTTGCTTCTTTAACCATTGCTTTCTTAGGACTAATAATCTCACAGAGATGGCATCTAATCATTTTAAAATTGTGAAAAATGAGATGACTTCACGTAAAAAAAAATCCTAAAGTGTGCATTATATTCAGTAGGCAATGAGTCTATGCTCTGTAGAAACACCTTTTACTCTATTCACAGCTGCAGATCTTTTAGATTATTACAATCTTTAAATATCTGGAGATTGAGGTTTTAGCCGTTTTATAGCTCAGGCTTACTTTGATTAAATTGAGCATTTTTGAAAATCTGATCATGAACAGATTCTCAGTTGGATTTAAGTCTTAACTTGTGTGTATTCTGAACTATTCCCCTGTAGCGCTAATATTTGGGTGGCTTCTCTGCTGGAAGGTGACTTCCCCCCACCCTCATGTCTTTCAATGCCCTCCAGTAGTTTTAGTTCCAGGATTTCCCTGTACTTGGCACCATCCATCTTCCCATGAACAACTTGTTTGTCTGAACTACAACGGAGTCTTTTCGTAGATGATGTGTTCAGGATGACATGCAGAGTTCATTTCCATCAGCAACTTGTTCAATTTTAGAAAAAAGTTAAGTTGTATTCTCATGTGACCACAGCACTTTTTGTATGCTTTGTGTCTTCTCTGTCCTTTGTCTGTGAAAAACTGAACAAGACATCCGTGGGCTGTCATTCAAAAATTGGCAGAACACTCTGTGGTCCATAAATCTTGATTCAATGTCCAAAGGTCGGTTAACAGCTGTCCTATAGATTTTCCTACATGAGCTATGGATCTCTGAAGGTCTCGGCTGCTGCTGTAATTAATACTTTACTTGCCTGTCCCCGTATTTCAGATAGTCTGCTGGCTAATCCTTTATCTGCAAAATAAAACTCTACAAATTTACAACAGAACCACAAAAAATAAACTAAATTTTATGTTGTGATGAGAAAAAAATGACATATTATATGAATCTAACTTAAGATTACAAATTGATTAATTCAGCCATGTCTTTCCACTTTCAGCATTGTTCCATGATGTGTTCAAAATTTTATTTTTTTTTTCTTAATCTAAACCGACATTAACCCTTTAAACGTTTGTCTATAGCTTAATCCCTGTGTTCTTCGGTCTTCTTTGTGTAATTTGATTACTAACAAACCTTTGAGGTTTTCATAGAATAGCTAGAGTGGATATTTATTGAATTCAAATTGCACACAAGTGAGACTGTTCTAGATTTTGCTCTGGATTTTATTTAGGGGTATCACAGTAAAGTGACTGGATTTTCATGTATAGTTTTCCCTCCACTCCATCACTTTGTGTTGGTTTTTCGCATACAATCTCAATAAAATATATTTAATGGGATTGTAGCGTGACAAAAATAAACATGTACCAAGCTCCCAAAGGGACTACAGATATCCCTGGCTCGTTTTAATTTACAACCCATTATAATGGTACACAACGATGACCCAAACTAAGACAATTACACCAAAATCAGCTCTTCAGTCTGCAGTAACTAACAAAAACAGGAGATACTGGACCAAAGTTACTTACAATTTACTTCTTTTTTTAATGATGCTGCTGTTTTTCATCATATTTTTTTTTTCTTTTTCAATTTTGCTAATGAATATCGCTGTTGCTTTACTCTGCATCATGGCCCTGGCAGATAACATTTTGTATTAAAGATAAGGATTGTTGAAATAAAACAGTGGCAGAAAGAAAAACACATTTCCATCCAAGTCTGCAGTCATGTATCAAAGCCTGTCATGTCTCATCTAGAACATATTTAAACTTTAAAGATAAAACTATCCCAGCCTGGTTAATCCAAGGTGGGACTTTCCACAGCATCACTTTCTTTTACTACTACTTTTTAATGTCAACTTTTATTATAATATAAACTGCTTTTCAGCTTAAATACTGTGTAATAGCCATCAACTGGGTCACATTTGTTTCCGAGACCCGATGGCTTTTAATGTCTTTGTTCTGGAGAGTGTCTCTTCTGAACATTTTCTCCATTAAACACAGTTTATGTCAAATAAAAGTGCATCTAATGCAATGAAATGTGCATAACTGCAATGAAATAATATGCAGTGAATGAAATAATCATATCTTGCCAGATTTTACTCTGTGTCCATCCTGTAGTATTGATCCGTTTTGAAATGTTTTATTTGCAGTAGTAATGAAAATGGTTGTGTGTGTGTGTGTGTGTGTTTACAGTTTCAGCTGCAGATGTTTGACATCATCTGCAGCACATCCTGGGCCAGCAGAGATAAGTGCTGTGAGCTGCCAGCTTTGGTAAGAAACGGAAAGATATCGGTCACACGTTTAAAACGGCTTCTTTTTTTTCTCTTTTTTTTTTGTCCGTCTTGTGCAAGAGATTTATTAGCTGTCTGAAACGGACACAAATAATCCATGGGGTGATTGCTAATATGATCAAACTTTGACTGTCTAGATTCATCCAGGGACTAACCTGAGAACATCGACGATTGTCAGCCTCGTCTTTTGGCATGCACACAAATGTTGATTTATTTTCCTGAATGTCAAAAATAATTTGCAAAAATTTTACTTTGATTCAATTCAATAAAACTTTACTCATCCCTCAAAAACAGCTGTTTCAGTCATGTCTTGATCCCTGAGGGTGGAGTGTTGTATATCATTATATATCACATTTTATGGGATATAAAAAAAAGTTTTATGGCTGATTTCCAATCTCCATTTTATTGTGTAGCTTTGGTCTGTCAGTGCTGATTTTAGTCAATTAGAATTTCTCTTTAAAAACACTGCCTTGTGAAAAAGAGGAGATTACTGTGTGAGAACAGTTGCTGTAATACAGGGTTTAGGCAAAATCATTATGGAGCTGCATCACTTATCTAAGTACTTATGCTGGCATTTAGCATCGTTAACACAGCTAGCATTACTTAAACAACAGCTTCCATTTGCAGATCCTCCTCTTAACTGTGAGATTTCCAACTTGCTGACATTTGTGCTTGAAGTCTCTGCCTGTTATGTAACAGTTGCAGCTGTAGATATCGACCTTGGTCATTCAATCGGTGCTCTTTTTGTATGTGTGCTTTCAGAGAGTGGAGGAGCAGTGTCCTCCCCTGCCCCATGCCTGCACCTGTTCTCAGGAAAGCAAAGGACCTCCAGGACCATCCGGGCCCCGTGTAGGAACACCAGTTTATTCTTTTGATTGTGTTGATCTTCCATGCTTCAGTCCACAGGAATGCATGAAGATATGTCACTATTTTCATATCAATAATGGCACTTATGCCTGTATGAAACACAAGACCTCTGGTGTAGTGTTCTTTAAACAGATTAGAGCAAAGTAGTGTTTGTGCACTGAACTCTGTTTTATGTCAACCCAGCAAATCAGAACAAATATCTCCAGTATCTTCAGTTGGTTTGGAGAAGGCTGATTTTTGGAGGCAGTTTTAGAACCAGAGGACCTTATTGTCTAGTACGAACTTCTTCCTATACCAAAGTGATCTGGAGTCAAATCTGAGCCCATCTGATTGGTAGCGGACGTTTGACTCAGAGTGGGCCACCAACGCACAGTGATGATGAATGCAGCAACAAATCTACAAGACTGGTGGGGGGAAAAAAATTGTAATGACTCACCTTGATAGTATTATGTAAAAATAAATCCATACAAATGACTAGACTGCTTTTATCTCAATCAAATGAACTGATACTGATTTCAGAGGCGAACTTAGTCTTCACGTCCCTCTCTGTTTTGGGCCTTTTTTGGGACCGAAAGTCAGTTTCAATAACCAAATATTTGCTAGGTTTATGTTTTTATTCAACTTCAGGTGCATAACGGTGTGTGTCGTTTAAAGCTGGGTCTCATTCGAGTTTGAAGTACAATCAACACCCGTGCCAAACATTGGATCCAAATAAAAACACTGCAAACCATTAAACTAAAACTAAAGTGGTATTTTTGGGTGATTAAGCATATACGTTTTTGTTTTTAATATACAAAAATTAGAATATATATATATATATATTTCCACCATGCAGACTGATTCAGGTAATTTTCTGTAACAATCATTGCTTGTTCTGATGTTTGCCTTTCAACCATAACTATGATTGATGACGTTTCTGTTTTAAGCAGCGGCGGACCTCTTCGGTTTTCTATGCGTCATATTCCACTGATCGCCTCTATATTGTGTGTTTAACCTAGCTACAGTTCAACACTCAACATTAGCCAACGATCAATCCAGCGTTTGGAAAGTAAGGCGTGCCCAACCTATCATCTCCGTTTGATAGAAATTGGAAAGTGCCCATGCTGGCCTACATCCAAGATATAAATTTGTCTTTGGCATCAAATTTCTCAGAAAACCATAGAGCTGTGTTTTTCTTTCATTACTGGGGGCCCGCATACAAATCCAAACATAATTATTTGTTTTACTCCTGCTGGAAGCTAATTTTAGTTTCTTTGCAGGTTTTGCTCCAAATGTAAGACTCATACTGTTGGAAAAGAAAAGCGTATCTGCTTGGATTTTTCTACACCCGGGTTTATCCCAAATATATGCAAATTCAAATATAAATATAAATGTATATATTCCTGAAACATGAAAAAAATCCATCGTGGTAGTTTCCCCCATTTGCACAATACATACAAACACACAAACACACTGTCTTCTTGCTAGACTTTTGATCCAAGCAAGGAAAAACATCCCCACTGTCTGTGCGCAGTGCAGCTAAGCATTATCCAGGATGAAGGAAGATTACTGTGAGAAAATCAAAGCACACACTTCTATGTATCACAAATGCAGAAATGGAGAGAATATCACCAAACAGCTTTTTAAGCTAGATTTACTAATGCCAGGATGAATAAATCTAGTAAAAGACAGCAGAAACTGGAATATCACCTCTAATATTCCGAATCCTAAAAATGCTCTTATTAGTATCACTACTAATGGTGGCAAATGGTGTTTTGTAACTCAGATGAACATTATTCCAAATACTCTGCCACCCAATTTAACTTTATGCTCACAAACAACAACTTTTGTCATCTCATGGGCTGGTTGTTTCTATTTTAATCTATTATTTTTCTGTGCAGTGAGTGTTATTGTGCAAAATGTTGTCACATTTGGCTTGTTTCTTCTCTTAAAGTCTGGATTCCAATTGTTTCTTTACGAGGTAAATTACGTCCTCCCTACTGTTTAATTCCATGAGTTGATCTTTTTAGCCAAAGTGCTCATTCCGCCATTTTTCTGTGTTGCCATTAACCTATGAAATGCCTATTCAACACATTCCAGTTAAATTAGTATTTTTAGCTAAACAATAAATAAAAACCAGCCAGTATGCTTTAAACAATAGTCCACTGCATCCAAATAACACAAGATTTTATTTTTTTTTTCTTGTGGAAAGTTGGTTGTTTTTATAATTGCCTGTCTGCTTTAAAAGAATAATGAAAAGGCCAATTAAGATTTTTCCAGTTTTATCCTGTTAATATTTATAAGTTTTATGACTCTATATTATGACGTTGTTTGCTCTTTAACTACTTTTTTTTTTATCATCGGCTTAGGGTGGACCCGGGATAAGGGGAGCCAGAGGAAACAGAGGGGAACCAGGAGTGACGGTTAGTACTGGGTACTTAATTTCTGGGACTTTATTTTTTAGTAGTAGTACCAGTCTGAAATGCATATAAACTATTTTGACTTTTTTTCACAAAAACAAAATCATATGGAATCACACACAAGGAAAACAAGTTTGGAAAAAAATCTGAAGTTTCTTCTCAGCTGAGCACACATTTCATTTCAGCTCACAACAAATACTATATGAACCTTTACAAGATTAACAAGTCCAGTAATACAAATATCTGAAACTTGGATTCAGTTGAACTCAGTCCAGTTTATTAAAATAAATCATTTAAATATTCTGCAACACAGACAAAGTCACTTGATCGTTTTCTCTCAGATTTTTAAATGAAATAGTAAATCTTCCTCTGTCTTTGAATAAAACTGAATTGATTTTGCAGAAACAAACTTTTGCATGTCTCAATTTTTATTCTCCAGTGAACATTTTAACATTACAGTGGAGAAAATAAGTATTTTATACGCTGACAATTTTCCAGGTTTGTGCACTTGGAGATTGGAGAGGTTTGTAATTTTCTTCAGTGAGAGACAGAATCTGAACAAAGAGACCCACAAAATTAGATTGTAGATTTTTTTGTTATTGATTTACATTTTATGGCATGAAATAAGTATTTAATACAAAGGAAAAATCAAACATAATACAGAAACCTTTGTTTGCAGTTACAGAAGTCAGGCGTTTCCTCCAGTTTTTGACCAGGTTTGCACACACTGTAGCCCACTCCTCCAAACATATTTTTTTCCAAGTTTCGGAGCTGTCACTGGGAACATGAGTTTCTAATCCCTCCAAAGATTTTTATTTTTTTTAAATCAGTAAATGATCTAAAGACTGCAGGCTTCTGACAGCCATGATTTATTTTCAGAGTCTTTACTGAGAGAATAAGGTTGTTACCCAAAGTCTCATAGTACATGGCCTCCTATATAGTTCAGTTCCTGTCCCTTCACAGAAAATCACCTCCAAATTATGAGATTTACACCTCCATGCTTAATGATTGGGGTGATTTTTCATGGGGTTAGAGTTGGGGTTAGGGTTGTGTCTTAGTGAGGGCAACTTTTGAGACTATGGCACTTGTAAGGTGATTGACCAGATCCTCCGGTGTTGCATCTTGAGTTTCTTTCATAATTGTGCCAACTGTGCTTGCTTCCTCTCTGAGCCATTTGCCGATTGTCCTGTAGCCCCAAGGACAATTGGCTGGGCATCTACATGTCAGCCTTATGCAGATCTACAATTTTGTTCCTGGTGTCCTTAGAAACGCTTCGGTTTTGCCCATAGTGTTGATGGAAGGTTTTTTATCCAGATGCAATTAGTTCAGTAAGGAGTGGAGGATAGGATGGCTTCTTAAATATGAACTAACAGGTCTGTGAAAAACAAAATTCTTCGTGGTTGGCAGGTGATCAAATACTTATTTCATGCAATAAAATAAGTTGATTTAAAAATCATACAATGTGATTTTCTGGATTTCTTCTTTTAGATTCTGTCTCACAGTTGAGGTGTACCTACAATGGATGTTACAGAGCTCTCCACTCATTGTAAGTGGGGAGACTATCAAATACTTAGACAGAAAGATGGTGTATGTAACATGCAATACATATTACACAACTCGACCCTAAAAGTAAAGTCATGCGATTCTCGATTGATTGAACACTTAGGTCTTTGTTTTTGTTCCTCCTTCATTCTTGCACAACTGATCTGTGGTTTCTTGGTGTGTTTTCATGGATAAGAAACACATAAACTCAGGATGCGCATGGTTGAAGAGTAAAATAATAAACACAGTTAAAAATTATTTTGGCTATGACTGCCACTGTGCTGAAACTCAGTTTTAGTTCGCATTAACCCCTCTTTTCTGGCTGCTGTTGCAGGAAAGCTGTCTGCACTTTTCACACTGTAATAAAATGAAACTCCAACAGCATGAAAAACCAGATTGCAGATGACTGAAGTGTCCAAATGAAAGTCCTGCTGTAGAAATAGTAGAAGTAATGTCGATCAGAGGATGTATGTCACTCTTAAGTCACCTGTTTGACATTTTATAGATCAGGGACACATCTCAGAAAAATAAAGTACTTTTTAAATTAAAATAATGTATAACAATAAATGAATTGTATTTGGAGGGATAAAAAGATCTTAGAGCTTTTAGTAAAGTTAATATGTTTTGATTTTACATACATATTTAATAAAGAGGCCTAAACTATCAAACTGTATGAGGTAAAAGTGTGTTTTTTGTGCCTCTGATCTCTATGGGTGAGCAGTGTTGCCTATAATCTCAAAACACAACTAAAGAATCTTTAAAACATTGATTTCCTGGAAATCCCGACACAAGACCACAAAAATCAACCATGCTAAAACTTTTTATGGTGTCCTTTGCGCATCGAAGCTCTTGTGTCTTACAGGGTGAAACCAGTTTAATAAATTAATTTTGGTTTGTGAATGTGAGACAAATGTTCAACTGTTTTAGTCCTTTAGTATTTTATCGACCTCATCAAAAAAATGCCCTGGCTCATCAAACTTCATATCATTTTGACCTTGTTCCTTTGTTGTGGTGGTTTTTATAGGGACCCCAGGGACCTATGGGGGAAATCGGCCCGTCTGGGCCTCCAGGACCGCCTGGTCCTCAGGGACCCAGTGGACTCTCCATTCAGGGACCCCCAGTAAGCCTGCGTTTGAGTAATCGTTCACCCCTAAGTATTTATTTACTTCACTTAGAAAGGAAGTCGCACATTAAATACTTCAGTTCGTCTTGTAAATGTGTTTTAGCTTCCATTCAAAACCACAATGTCTTTGGGCGATTTAGTGACAAAGTTTCCTTTTCAGGGCATTCGTGGAGAAAAGGGAGAGAGAGGTGATGCTGGCACAGGAGGACCAACGGTGAGAACATCCATGTTTCATGGAAACAATAAATATAATCAAGAACTCTATTATATTTTATTCAGTGTATTGGTTCTGTCCCAAACTACTACAAGTATAAAAAGGTTGTGAAATTTCTTCACTTTATGGGTACGATTACAACAGCGAGCAGTGTCTGCTTTTCTTTTAAGGAAAATATTACCTTTAAAACCTCTGCTTTTTTTTTTTTTTTTTTGGTGTATCTTTTGCTTAGACAGATGAAGAGTTTTTAAAAAGAGCTTCGGAAGATAAGGATAGTAAAGAGTTTAGAGGATCACGAACGTTTAAATTGCGCTTGTGTTTGTGTTTTAGCAGAGCTGTGCTGTTTTTGTTACTGTCACATTTGCACGTGGACAGCGAGCAATCTAATGGAATCACTGAGATGTGAATAATTATTACCAACATCCCCATTATTGGGCAGTGAACCAATGAAAGTAGTAATGAATTAATTTTATGGTTTTCTCCTAAGGAGCTCGAGACACCAGCGGAGATAAAGTGAAAGTTTTCATAAGACGGCGTTCCAAGATGGGTTTTGCATTTCGTTGTTTCTCTTCCTGCAAATTGTTGGGGAGTTTTTAGTTGCTTTGATAAATGAATGAACAAAATCTGCATATTAAGAACACTAATAATGACTTCTAAAACACTTGTAGAAGTCATCTTGTGCCAGAACTTAGTATAAGTATTATGCCATATTTAGATGCATTTTTTGGACATGTTATTTGCAGTAGGAAATGCTGTTTCTGCTGTCTCTGCCACTTTGGGAGTATAACCTTTATGACACCACTGCTGCTGGGTGTTTGTTTTCCATTTTACATAGAGTGAGGCAGACTAGTCTGATGCACAGTGAAGGTTTTCCATACTGGTTTAACCTTGAGCCACTTCTCTTTGCCCACAAGGGAGATATTTTTGTCAAACTACTTTGTTTTACTTTAGATTATAATAAAACCATTTTATTTCAGGTCAAATTAGGGAGATATTTGGACGAAATCTATCAAATAAAAGTTATTAATAGATTCTTCAATATTTCATACAATTAATGTTAAACAATATTGTTTTTGGCCTCTTTGGAAACTAAGATTTTCTCTATGTATTTCTACCCATTACTGATTAGTCCACCTGCTTTTGCTCATAACAAATAAAAATCGACCTTGTCTATGGATCAGTGGTTTTATGGCTCCATTACTCCGATTCTTACAGATAATCTGTAATATTGTAAATGTTCCTGTTTTATATCTCTATAAACTACAAATGTAACCTTTCTTCTTTCAAACTGGATGATTTTCATCATAAATGACACCAGATGATGGAAGAAATTAGATCATTTAGTGGATCAGCTTGTTTCAGGTCTAGTAAAGCAACAGCAAACTGCTGATGGGGCAACGGGATCTGTACTGAGCGACACAACAGGAAAAGAGCAAAACTAAGCCGTGTTATAACATTTTTGGTAACACTTTATTTGAAGGGGGTTGAATAAGACTGTCATGACACTGTCATAAACACCTGTCATGAACATGAATAAGTCTTCATGAATATTTATGACTGTTGTCATAAAGTGTCATAAATTATGACACTTTTAATACAAAGTTGACATTATTCAAAATGTCTTTGTTATGACAACTTGACATTAACCAAGAAATCATTACTGATATAAATTTGTTATAAAAGTATTACTGATTGCCCTTTAAAAATCAGGTAACTTTATGCTATTAAAGGTAAAGTTTAAACAGTAATGATTTATTGGTTAATGTCAAGTTGTCATAATAGACATTTTGAATAATGTCAACTTTGTATTAAAAGTGTCATAATTTACCAAATGATGCTTTATGACAGTCATAAATATTCATGAAGGCTTATTCATGTTCATGACAGGTGTTATGTCATGTTTATGACAGTGTCATGACAGTCTTATTCAGCCCCCTTCAAATAAAGTGTTACCACATTTTTTTCCATGCTACTGAGCAGGACTGGTTGCAGTTGTTGCTCCCATCTGCCAGTCAGTGATGATGTCAAACTGAGACACTGATGCACCTTCAGAAGTCACTGCTGGCAGGACAAATATTTCTTTTTTTTTTTTCTTGTTGGTCAGCCTTGAAATATTTTCACTTTGTCAGACATTTCATAAACTCTTCTGAGTCAAATGATTTCTCTCATGACAACTAATGCATCAGCTGGATTGAACAGGTGTTTGTTCTGATGCTGATGGGCACATAAAAAGTTGTCAGCCAAAATGACTCGTCATGCCGTTGCAGATAATGATGTCCTTGATGACTGTATACAGATACCGTTGGGATTTGTTGGGATGGTGTTTACTCTTTTGTTTTTATATCCCACTCTATGCATATCATTAGACTTTAATAAAGACTATAATTCACAGCGATTCACCCGCACACCATATGTTTCCACAAGTCCTTTTTACTTTTTTTTTTTTTGTTATAAAAAGTGCAATAAAGGCTCCTCTCATGAGGAAAGAACAACTTGTTTCCTATGAGAGCCGCTACACATTTTGATGGAGCACTACAGCTCTTCCTGACTGCATAGTCCTAATAATAAAACCCTCCTGTGCTGCTCTGTGTTACTGAGTAATAATGTGTATTGAGAGAAAGGTATATGAATGATTGTGTGTGAAGCAGTGTGTGTAATACAGCAGCTTCTACCACTTTTATTTATAATATACGAGGAACCAAAGAGAATATCACCACCATGGAACATCAATTATCTGTCTTTTTTTTATACTTCCTGTTTCCTTGTCTTTCCCTGCTGCAGTAAATTTAGTGTAACCTTGTCTTGAGCATCTACTCCACCTTGGTTTCAATTTGACTGTGAAAAATGCTGCTCCAGTGCATGGCAGAGAGTCTGTGGGTTTGGGTGTGCGTTGGTCTTTCTCATTTTTCATTCTTTGTTCTTTTTATTAGTCTGCCTATGCGCTTGTGTAATTTATCAGTTATGTTTTGCTTTGTGCGAAAGAGGGATGTGGGTGCTCTTTTGATTGTCTCCTTGTAGATACGGGGCAGATGCATGTGCTTTCTCACTCTTATGTTCCCATGTTGCTCAACACTTAATCTCAGAAAGTCTGAGCTGTGCGAGCTGGAGTGTGCGCTTGCACATCCGTTTGTGTGTCGACCTGCAGCAGTGAGATCCTAATACTGATGTATCAGAATCGGCTGCACCACTGATTCAGTGGTTAGAAAGCACTTATGAAGGAATGATGAGCAAATTCATATTCTATCAAATCTTTGGTTAAATAATTGCATTAGATAATGTACTTTTTCCAAAATAAGTACAAAGTTATCAAAATTTGGCTGGTTTAGTTTACCATTCGACGTGTCCGCAGACGTGAAAACTTATTTCCCTGGCAGCCATGTTTGCTTGTAGACACGTGCATGAAAAAAACAAACCCGAAGGTCCAGCTCTGCAGATGATGTAGGAGACTGAACTTCAGCCAAGATCTGAACAACGGCACGTCGTTAATCACCCGGGCCTGTCCTCTGTAACCCCAGTCTGTAATTTGTCGAATCTTTAACAGTGTTAGCTGTCCTGTTTTATGAGCCTTCCACTAATACTAAAGTGCAGAGATAAATCAACTCAACACTTAATCTATGACTCGTCTCTGGAACTGGTTGCGTGCTTTGACCTGCGGGGGGATGAGGAGGCTGAAGGGGGAATGGGGCAAGAGATGGAGCGGCAGGGTCACCAGCCAGTATGAAAGACTGTCTCTGTCCCAAGACTGAGGTCATTCAGTCTATAAATCAATTTTATGTACTGTTGCTAAAAGATCGTTAAGACAAAAAGTTAACTGTTTTAACCTTTCCTAACCTTTGAATGTGTAGAAGTATTATTGCTATGAAAGCTTTATTAGAAGATATTCAGTGCTTAACTGTATTTGATCCTTCAGCTAAGTAACGGTGGATGTTTCTATTAAAGAAAAAAATAAAATATCAGTTTAATCTCTTTGTGCATTTTACAGTGTAATACTGCCAAAGTGTTGATGGCGTTGGCCATTTAAATATGAATATTTGTATTTCCTTCAGGGCGTTCCTGGAAGCCCTGGCTCTCCAGGCAGAGATGGTCCTCCGGGAGCAAGGGTAAGATAAAAGACCAATATTTCATCTAATCCTCTGTGGGTTCTGGTGGTTTTTAAAAAAAATTTTAATGTTTTTTTTTTGTTTTTTTTTTTTTACATATGATCCGTAATTTTAACTTCCTGACTTTTGTCTATCCTATCTTAAGGCACAGTGACGAAGGATAAGGGCAAATATATTGTTATGTTTGTGAAATTCAACATTTTTGTTTAGGCTAAACTTTGGCCAGACATATAGGACAAAAAATGTTAAGATGCTTCTGACTTCTGTCACATCTGTAATAAACACAGGATGTCCAATGTATTTAGAGCCTCTGTAAACTTCTTAAACTTTCTGCTTCAGATCATGAGCTGTTCCCTGGGATTTCTTCATATCTCCTCGTTTCCTTCACATTGATCTAAGTTTACTGTTTCAGAAGTTGTCTGGATTTGTCTGGAAGCTTTCTTGGAAAATGCCCATCATCTTTCTTATGATCTTGAAACTTAATTGTGCTTGCACCTTGTGGTGGACCCTCTGTGTGTAGCCTGAAGAAGTCTGCGGTAGACATGGATAATGAGATGTCAACCTGCTGGACAGGATTTTTCTCTTGGCTGGGGCTTGTAAGTCTTCATGGAGAGAATCCTGTAATCACCAACCAAAATTGTGTTCTGTAAATATCCAGGGTTTGTGAGGCTGCTGGGCTCACCAGTGTCAGAATGGACCAAACTATCGGTTTGAACTCTTCTCGTCTTCCAGCTAATTCTGACGTCTATTAGCCCAAATGTAGTATCTTCTGACAAACAGCCGACGTAACTACATCGCTTGGCCTTGAAATATTCCCACATTACTGTATTTGTGTGTTTTCCAGCTGTCTTTTCGTATTGAATGCACAGCTGCATTTCCCTATTTGGTTTTATGCCGCATCATAAAACTGCACATCTTCCCTGAGTTGCAGGAAACTGCATCCCACCCAGGTTTTTGAAAACGACATACACACCGAATGAGATCTCATTCATAAAGGCTCAGTGATACCAGCTGGCCGTGGTTAATACTGGCAGAGTAATCTGGCCTTACAATGCCCGGCTGAGCCGTAAATAGCAAAACAGAAGCTCAGCCAAAGGGTAGAGAGTCAGCAGGCTGCAAAGAAGGTTTTGTCCAAACTTGTAATATGATAACAGAGCAGTTCTGTCCTGGCCCGGATCCCGGAGAGGTGGAGGAATCGGCATGTAATCCATCTGCTGTCTGTTGGCTGACAGTAGTGCCGGTGCTCATCCTTTCAGCTGTGCTTGTTAGATCCATTCATGCACAGTTTTCCCACCTGTCACGCCGCTTCCTTCAGGACGTGCATGTTGTCTGTTGGTTCTTCTCACCGTGCCAGATCAGTTTTAGAGCACATGAACTTGCAGTTACCAAAAAAGTAGTTCATTTTTATTTGGCTTTATAATAAGATGTTTCACTCGATGCGGCGTTGTGTTCCAAAGTTACGAGTGGTGAGTGTGGAAAAATGATCTTAAATAATTTACATGCTTCTTTCACTTTGAAAATGTCGACAAATTTCACAGCATGAGCATCGCAGCTCTTACAATACGAGCAGAACTTAAATATGCGGCCTGCAGGACATGTTGTTGAATGTAACTGCTACATACTGCAATTGTTTAATTACTTAAAACGTCATGCAAAAACACTTTGTCCACGCGAATGCAGAATCACCAAACTCAGGATTTCAGATGCTTGAAAGTGATTCCAAGAACAGGACATATTTTTGTTTATTTTTTGGCTAATTCAGCTAATTCTGTGTAACCAGTGCTAAACCAAAAGGTCGGACGGAAGAACTCCTCCTGAGTTCTTTACAAAGAGTTGGACCAGCTGTGGCTGAATAAGATTAGGTGTCTTGCAGTTGGAAAGTTGTGAGTTTGACTCCCGTTTCCTCCTCGCCCACATGCTGTGTGCCTGAGCAAGGCACTTCACCCCAAGTTTATTTTGTCCTAATAGTGCAAAAATTATACAAATATAAATAGAAGAAAAACAAAATAACAGCAAATACTAGAAAGCACCACATGTGCAAAATACAACAACCAGTACAGTATCACCCAGGCCATTAGGTACCAGTTAGCTGTGCCATAAAGCATAGAGATGTAATAAGTCTCTCAGGCAGTCTTCTTGTCATGAACGAGCAATGGAGGAACGGGAGGATTTATCTGATTTAACACTACATTATGTCCTCATCAGCTCATTTCTCATCCTATCATAAGCCTAGTGACTTTTTTTTTTCCAAAGAGGATCTGGGTTATTTTTAAAACTTCATCTGCTTGAAAAACATTTGAAGCCATGCACATGCATTTCCTAATCAAATCTTGGTGGTATGCATTTATTACATTAAGCAGGCTTGGTATGTGTTGAACTGAATACAGCAATGACAGTGTTACCTAAAACGCACATAGTTTTATAATTTGCTTTTTATGATGTATATGATTTGACCCAGAGCTACATTGACTGCTGGTGAACTTTTGTGTTAATGCTAGCCTGTCCCAGATGTCTTTTCTCTTCTTGGCTTTTTCTTAATGTGGTCTTGACATATTTCAATGTTTGTCAAGCAGAAAATGTTCCTCCTGGTTCATAAACTAAGCAGAGTCAACAGAAACGTGATGCTAAAGTGAAAGAAGTTCCTGTTCAGAACCGTTTTTTATCATCCATTGTTTTATTTGGACGTTTTCTGCCTCGTAACATGGGACAGGGAAATGCTGCTGCTCTTTGTCCCGTGTTTGCTTTGCATAGCATGTGGCTACAGCAAAGCTGCAGGGCATGCATTAGTAAAATGTTTTAATCGTTTCACAGGTTGCTTCAGAAAGCAGTGAGCATAAACAATGGCATCAGGAAAATCATTTATTGAATTAAGTTTATTTATTTGAGCTCACACATGTGGTTCATGCTCATTCTGCTTGTTGCCTTTGGAATGCCCTCAAAGAATGTTTTTTTTTTTGTTTCTTTTTTGTCTTTTTCAGCATAAAGCCAAATCTAATCTAATCACATTTTGCCATTACCAGCTATCATCATTTGAGGCTCATAAAAATACTGTTTACCAATCTCAGTGTTACATGTATTTATGCTAATTTACCAGTCGTGGTGCAATTTCAGCTGCTATGAACAACAGGGGGCACCTTGTTTGCTGAATAACTAATCTTCCACGTTTTAGTTTTCAAATTGCAAAATCTGGTGTGTATTTCATATTTATAACATTTGACACCAATTTAAAAAACAGTCAACAGTGCATGTAAATGTGCGCTAATAATTCCCTTTCAGTGCAACACACAATAGCTCTGATTCTTTAACAGTTAAAGAATTGGCTTTTAGGTGTCCAGCAGTGCACTCGGGCTGAGCTGAAAATATTAAAAACAGCAGGAAAAGCTGGTAAAAAATCAGGTAATCAGATATTATCAGAGCTCCAGCCATTTATGCTTTCAACGCGCGTTTGACATCAATAAAGAAAGTAGATGAAAACCAATAAAACTGTAATTGGGTGGTCTCCAAAGACAAATATTCACAGTTTTCCTTTTGTGGTCACAGTGGAAAAAAAACAAACAAAAAAAACATTTTCATTAACCACTATGTAATGTATACTGCACAGAGCAGTGAGCACAAGCTCTTATTGATTTACTGTAATATTGTCTCAGTGCAGCTTTGCTCCTTTGGAAATGTGCAAAACATTCATGACATTTATACAAGGATAATTTATACAATGCAAAGAGCCGAGCTCAGAGTGAAAGGGAAAAACTCTGTCTTCTCTAAAAGTGTGCTACAGTAGTCGGGTAGATCAGATTAACCAACAGTAATAGTGTCTTGGCTAATTTATTTATCCGTATTTCAGTGAAATAGGTCAAGATGAAAACTACAAATCTTGGTTTTGTTGCTAGTTTCACTGGAGAACGTTCCAATCTTCTTTTTTTTTGTACTTATATCATTGCCTGGTAGATTGTTTTCAGTTTTCATCATCATCTCGGATATACAAATAGCTTCTGTTACAACACAGGCTATTTTATTTTTGCAGTCTCTCGTGTATAAGGTTTAACATGAGTGGATAACAGTATGAAGTTAATGATTCAGGTTTTGCTTCCAAGAAGTTTTCAGTTTTTTAAAGTGTTAATAAGGTAACTTTAGATCCCAAAGGTGAATTAGTGTTGGCCAGTGTAGGACAAGCTGGCCAGACACACAGAGTTCAAGACCAAACTACTATTGAGCCAATTCCAAAAAACAGAAGTTCTCATATTTTCGAAACATGTTGATGTTGATTAGTGAAGTGGGAGTATGTATAAATGTTATCTGTTTTCATATGTTCTCACCTTACTGTTGAAAAGTAAACATATTTCAGTTTCAGTCGGTTGACCAGCAGTGTGACAGAATGCAGGTGAAGTGGTTTTCTGTGCAGGGCGCAGTAAGAACCCACCAGCACACAGATTGTAAAATTTCTGATCTTCTCACGCTGATCATTGTGAGCTGATCACACCAAGGTTCTGAAGCTGAAGGTTTCTTTATCAATAAGTCAGGCTGCAACTGCTTCATAACTATGTTGGAAACTTTATGAACCCCACTACTCATAAAGTTTTCCTTCTCCTCTTTGTAACTCACAACAAAGCCAGGACGTCTCTTTGGCAGCATGATTGGCTCTGATAAATTCGCCAGCCAGCCTTCATGCAGTTTGGATGTGTGCGCTCTTCTCCACAGCTGGGCGTCCCGGTACAAACCCATTTCAATAAGCTATGGACTGTGAAAAGTGTACATTTCATTCTGGTTAAAGAAAATCTTTTTCGCTGTAACCACAAAAGCAATACTGTGGGCATATCTCTTAGAGACCATCATCCGCTTGCAGTTTTATTGGTTTTTGTTTATTTTCTTTACTGATACCAAATGGATGTTCAAAGCTTAAATGGTTGAAGTGCAGATAGTATCTGATTACTTGATCTTTACCAGCTTTTCCTGCTGTTTTTAATATTGTCAGCTCTGCCCAAGTTCACTGCTGGAAACCCAAAAATCTTCCCCCGCCCCTCAGTTAATGTATCATAGATATTGTGTGTTGCAGTGGAAATAAATTATTAGCTCCTTTTGATTTCAAATTAATGTGCACTGTTAACTTTATTTAAATGATTGCCCATAGTTAAACATATAAAACAAACAGATGCAGCATGAGATGAGTTAGTCAGCAAACCTGGTATTGAGCAGCTAAATTTGCATCATTATTGGCAAATTAACATGAATACTTTTAAAACTGGCAAGTTGCAGTGTCACAGTGAGGACCTTTTGGTTGCAGCCGGAGGAGATGATCCCTGAAGCAGCTCTGCTGCTGAGACCATTACATAAAACTCAGCGTAGCACAGTTAGCCTGGTGCGGACGTGATTCACACCAGGCTCGAGATCCTGCATGGGATCCTGCATGGGAGACGGATGCAGGCCAGCAGCACATCAACCATCACGGTGGCTTTACTCATCCTCACTAGTCAACAGATTTCAGGGTAGATGGTGATGAGGAGTGTTATGTTACTCCAGAAAATCTCTCCAAGATCCTATAGAGACCATTCATGCTTTGGCTGTTTTTTTAATTTTTTTTAATTTTTTTATTGTGGTGACATTTTAGCCTGGTCTGAGGGGGACCTAAAGACTTCAGACGACATTGATGTCTTGCACACAAGATTTTTTTTTTTATTAGTTATGCAGTTTTTCCTAACCTTTTAAGAAATAAAGTAAAACTGAAGGTTTTTACTTTATTTCTTTTGTTTCCAACAAAATAAATAAAATATTTCTTTTTGTTTTGGTGTAAAACACTGGAACTGGAGTGCCACCTTAATAGTCAACTGTTTGTTTCCTGCAAAGTGTTTGTTTCTAGTGCTCGTGTATTTAATTTAATTTCAAATAAATATGTTTGTTTCTAAACCGAGCAACACCAGGAATTTAGAGTTCCATCTATGGGCTGATAAGGGTAAAGTAACCTGTCTGAAACCAAAACTCTTCTCATTGAGGAGTTCTCCGAGTCACTTTCTGCCTTTGCTGGCTTATGTGCTGAATACTGAATCTCGCATTGTCAAAAACCTGGTGAATTTGGCTCCAGGAGCATTGCCACAGAATATTAAGAAAGAAACTAGCAGAACAAATAAGACTCTGACCAGCACATGTTCTCCTGTCTCAGAACCTGTTTTTAATCATTATATAAATTTTTTTCTTCTAGTTTGTTTCCTTTCTAAAGGAGTTTCCACATATTGCCCATACTGAAAGGCAATCAGCCTCAAACTGAAATGAAAGGATTAGTTGGGCCTCAGGTTAAGCTGTTTTCCAGTAATCTGAGGTTGTATTCGGTATCCAAATTCTGCGTTAAACACAAATATGGTTCAGGTTGAACAAGCCATAAATGCTCTTGCATAAACCCAGCATAATATTAGTATAAATCATTTGTAATGCGTTGTACAACCAGACAGCTGGCCTGCAGACAAAAGCTGAAGCTGCAGTTAATTTAAAGGAACAAAGAGAAAACACCTACTAATAATAATCATTTTAAATACCTATGAAGAAATATATTTTCTATATTGCTAAAGTTAAGAGAATTAACTTTTTTTATAAACTACATCTAAAATCAAAAGTGAAAAGAAGTTCGAGGTGTACAGATTTTTACTGGGTCTGATACTAAAACAGTTTGGTTTTATTAATATCCTAATTGTTTTCCATTATAATAAAGAGTAGAAAAATGCAGTAAATGACTCATAATAAAAGGAGCATTGAGAGACAATATGCTGAATGTATTAAACCATCTTTCTTTCAGGGTCAGCCGGGTAACAGCGGTCCTCAGGGAAGACAAGGACCTCCTGGACCCATCGTAAGGCTGCGGTCATTTCAGTCCCGTCGTCTTTTTGTCCTGTCTTCAGTCACTTCCTCTTGTTTTTCTCTCTTTTCTCTCAGGGAGCTCCAGGAGCTCCTGGAGTCCCAGGGCCCAGTGGACCAGCGGGACCTTCAGGTGAACAAGGAGTGCCTGTGAGTTCAGATTTTTTTCCTTTAAATGATGTTTCAACCCCCAAAAAACAACTTTTATTTAACATCTAAATATTTTTCATTAATAACTCTTTGTTTTATTTTGAGACGCTTGTTCGGCCAGACCACACAAACAGTTAAACAGACAGTAGAGGTACATCTATTAATTTTTATGATTCTCTATGCCAATTTTGTCCAAACTTTAATCTGCCATTAATAACTTTAGCTGATTTCAGATTCATTTTAATTTGATAATCTGTTTAATAGCATTCACCATATTTTTCTCTTCTCTGTTTCTCTTCGCCTACTTTCCTGGCTTAGCACTTTCAATTAAAAAGCCCCTAGAGCCAAAAAAAAAAAGTACATTACCTCACAAATTTAGATCACCTAAACTATTCACTCATCGGTCTGTTTTACTGATTTTTTTTTTTAACGTGAAAAAGCAAAACAGAACAGTGCGCTGTAAAAACCTAAAGATATTAACAGGTGGCATGCATTCATTCCCTCTGAGTCAGTTTCTTTTATGGTTTCCTATGAGCAAGGTTTTCATAAACACCAGGTTAGTGGAATAAAGAATCAATAGTTAAATTTTTGCGTTCATTGATCTTCATGATTCTGCTTGTTCTCAAATATTCTCTAACAAATCTATGAGGTCAGATTTATGCTGAGACCAAGTTACACACTTGTGGTCTCTCTGTACCAAATAAGTTAATTCAGAGGCCGCTTGTTGCACTAGGACTTCTTTAGGGGTATCAGAGTAAAGAAGACACATTATAAATACACTGAAAACCAGTGTAAAACATTGTAAAATATATAAAAAAAAAAAAAACATAGATTGGGTTATAAACATCCTAATTCTGCACTGTTAAGGTAAAATCCCAATGACAAAGTTTTTCAGAGAAAAGTTAGTGATATGAATACTTTTTCAAGACACAGCAGTGTGTTAATATTGATATAGTAACAAGGCAAACCTCTTGTGTGTTGTGCTTCTTCAAGTGATTTTTTTTTTTTTATGTCTAACGTGAGTCAGCGTTTATGCCCTCGTGTTTTGTTCTGCCTTTCAAAAGAAAAAGAATTAGCGCAAGCAGCACAACATACACAAGGACACTGAATAGTCTTCGAGACGATCCGAACTGCGTGTGGCGCTAACCATAACGGATGACACCGTGGTGTTGCTGACAGCTAATCTAGTCCTGGGTCAGCTCTCTAGGCTGGCAGCAAGTTTGGCTCGCAGAGTCGATCCATAAATCACAGACACCCTCCCCATCGCGCACACATTTAAAAAAACACACACACACACACACACACAAATCCAGAAAAAACATATCTATAAGAGATTGCATCTGCTTTCTGTCCAAGATTCAAATAAAATCCATATGAATTTCTGCACCTCCTAAAAGTATTCACTTCAAATTACGATTATTTTACTGATTCTGTTTTCGTCTCTATGTAGTTTCTTTTTCATGCCGTTTATATTCCAAATACAAGCATCCAAGTGAATCTAGAGGGAATTTGACCAACTAGGTTTGCTAAGTTGGACATATCCAACTGAGAACTTAATTAAATGACAATTGATTTATATCCGTGAAAGCTTAATAGCATTTAAAGCTAGAGAGGGACAGATCTTCAGTTTCTGGTCTTGGTCGACCAAAATGAAACCCAAACAGCTGTTTTTAGGAAAGAGAGTGGTGCATCTGGAAATGCTCTGCTTCATCTATCAAGATCAGTAATGATGAAACTTTGGGATTAACCTTTTAATAGAGATGAACCGAGCAGATTTGGTTTACTGTTTCATCAGCTCTCCTTGGGCCATATACAAATAAATGTGCCAGACTGTCGAAGCTCCCGCTGACATCCCTATTCTGCGTCGGACGTGGATCAGGCTCTGACTCTGAATGTGGTTTCCAGTCATCCAACCACCTGGAGAGTCTTTTTGAAATTGATCTTGCTCGACCTGATGGTGAGCTCCCTCACGTTTGCCAACTTTGAAAGAAATGAGCTCAACTATCTTCTTGGGAGTGCTTAATCAGTTCACGTTTGACACCAGAGAGGGAGAGAGGGAGAGAGAGAGAGAGAGAGACAGGAAAGTCGGGGGAGGGATCTGAAACTCAAGGTTTATAGTAAAAATATTCTGAATTCTCTTATTGGAGAAACCCTACACATGCGTGGAGTGAAGGAAAGTCAGCTCTGATCAATAATAAATCAGGTTTTTATGAGCGGTCCTCACATTGCCATTATGTAGCATGGTTTTCCATGGCAACCTGATAAGGCGGCAGACATTTATGTGTCTGGAAAGACTCGTATGATCCTGGCTCGCCGGAGAGGTCCAAGACGAGAACTTTTACTGTTCAGGTTGGCTCCTTCGTCCAGCAGCTGTGTCAGACATTGGCTAGACCTTTCCCATCATCGGCTGATTCATACTCGGTTAATTTTTTAACTCAGTCGTCGCCCTTGCACACAAGCACAATCAGACAGCAGGTGGTGGTGGTGGTGGTGGTCAAGAACATTTTTCCACTCAAACTAAACAAGTTTCCATTTAAAAGTGGCAACAGCTTTTGAATAAAGTATTTTCAGCTTTTTTTTTATTTAATGGACAGAGCCCTGTGGCCAGGAAATGTCTTTTATATGCCTCTGGATTACAATGACTGATTTGCTCATGCTTGGCGTATGCGTGCTGCTTCTCCTTGGTTTTACAGTGTTGACAGAAAGTACATTTATCCAAAGCCCAGATGTCATTTTCTGTGAACTATAAACTTTGAGGCTTATTGCACTGCATTTGTCCCAATCTTTTATGTTTTAGTAAAGCCAATGAGACAACAGATAAAGTGCTGTGAAGAAAAGAACTGATAAGAGTGACAAATGGTGACATTTGTGAGAAGGAAATAAAAATGACTGTTTCTGAGGGACATGTGTTGTGAATGACTAGACACCCAACTTAGAGATTTTTGTGAAGCATTTTTTAAAAGATCATTAAATAAATTTTAATATTGGTTAAACATAATCTAAGTTAATACTAAATTCCAGTTTTGAGCAATAATTTTATCTATAAAGGGCAAAAAAGCTCATCGGGTAAAATAATTGTTTCCTAAACCTAAAAACTAGCAGTGTCATCCTTTTTTGTAACAACTGTCTTCAGTTCCCTGGCAGCCCTTCTCAGATTTTTAGATTTCATTTCTCGTCTGTTCTTGAAGTTCTGCACATTGGACACGATGTGTGGCGTTTTGAAATATTTTGGCCTGCTTCCTGTTGTCAGACAGGTTCTATTTAAGTGATTTCTTGATTCTGCATGTCAGATTGTAATCTTGCATAAGGACTGAAAGTGAAAATGTATCAAAATTTTCAAGAAATGAGCTTAAACTGAGTGAATCAGTGATTCAAAAAGAAGGCAGTTTCTTTTTCCAGATGGGAGCAGATTTGCTTAAATAGCTTTTTTTTTTTCCTGTTAACAGATGCAATCCTTAGTTTAAATCTCTATTTTGTGCTTATTTTTTTACTGTTTTGTCATCTTAGTCTGACATGTGTTTGATCTGAAACATTAGCTGTGATGAAAAAGCTAAAGCAGCAGAAACCTGCAAGGAGACAAATATTTCTCCACATCACTGCATCCTAAATAAATGTTATTTTCTCCCTGTGCTTTCATCTTTTCAGGGTCTTGCTGGTACCAAAGGCGATAAAGGAGAGAGAGTAAGCTACTCAATCTGTACACGTTAGCTGCTGTTAGAGCGATATTCCAGTAGACATGTTGTCCCTTTTCTTCTCTAAAACCCTCAAAGTTTTTCACTTATGGCCCCAGCTCTTTCTAGAAGAAATCACATTTCTCTGTATGAGTCGCTGGCTCCTTAACTCGAACAGGCAGCTTTTTCCATACCGTGTCTTCATGCTTGTTTAAAGCGAACCAAATCAAATTGGTGTTCATGGAGCACCAAGGGCAGTGTCTGGATTTTTGCTGACAAAAGCGAGGACGTCGACGCCAGCGGCTTTGTAAGACACGCTCCTCGCCGGCTTGAATCAAAACTAAACGTTGGGGACGTTTGTACCTCGACGCAGCTAATTTTAGCTTCAAGAACCGAGATGAAAGGCGTTTAAAAAGAAAAAGAGAAGATTTTTCTCCTCAGAACTGCGTTTCTGTGAGTTGGCCCAGTTCTCATCAAAGATGGTGGTAATATGATGAGGATTTCTTTTTTTACACTTTTGATCAGCCCTTCAGCTGACCTTTTCCTGTTTTCAAGTCACAAATAGGAGCAGCTGATCTTATTTAGATCCCTCTCATGGAGTTTTAAGAAGGAATCAAACATTGCAATAACCGTAAAATAACATAGAAACCTAAAATCACTCATGTTGTTAGATTACTTTGTTCAGAAAAGATAACATTTGTTGATGAATTTCCCCAAAAATGGTTCACTAAACAAAAAGGTATTTTTTTGTCTTTTGTTTCTGTTCTTTAATATACAAATATCGAACTGAAATTCCAGGTATTTCAAGAGTTAAGCTCGGCTTATTGAAGATACAGCTCTGAATTAAAATTACGGGACCACTTAACGTGTTCAGTTTCTCTGATTTTACTTTGTATA